ACGTTGAAAACTGATCGATCGAAGATTAAGAGAAGGAAAAGTAAAAAAGTAAAAAAAATCGCATAGAAAAAATTCCCAAAACTTACTATTGCAAATCTTCCCTACGAAATAGAAGAAAGAAGAAAGAATGACGAAAAAATTAAGAAGAAGAAGCGAAAGAGGAAAGGGTGGAGGAGAGATAGAGAAGCCAACAAGAATTGGTATAGGGCTAGTAATTCAAAAACTAACTAGAAAGTTGTAAGAGAAGGAAAAAAGTAAAAAAGTAAGAAGAATCGCGTAGAAAAACTTACTATTGCAAATCTTCCCTACGAAATAGAAGAAAGAAGAAAGAATGACGAAAAAATTAAGAAGAAGAAGCGAAAGAGGAAAGGGTAGAGAAGCCAGCAGGAATTGGTAGGGCTAGACAAAAGAGAGTCCAAGTCCAGACTTTAAAAATTAACTGGAAAGTTGTACCTTTAATTAAACATTTTTTAATTTTAAAAAACAATTTAAAAAAATTTAAATTTTTCAAACTCTCAAAAATTCAATCGTCAAAATAAAAACGTTGAAAACTGATCGATCGAAGATTAAGAGAAGGAAAGAAGTAAAAAAGTAAGAAGAATCGCGTAGAAAAACTTACTATTGCAAATCCACGAAACAGAAAAAAAGAAGAAAGAATGACGAAAAAATTAAGAGCGAAGGGGGAAGCGAAAGAGTGGAGGAGGAGGGGAGTGTAAGAGTGTAGGAGTAGAGAAGCCAGCAGGAATTGGTAGGGCTAGACAAAAGGGAGCCCAAGTCTATTTCCCGCTGGTTGAAAGTGTTCCCGTTGGTGGTAACGCGGAGGAAACGGGGTGCAACCTATTGTCAACCCTCTGCCGGCCTTTCCAACAATGCCACCCACCCGTGTCAGTGGCGCTTTTCATCGTAAACGGCGTAAACGGCGTATCGGTGACGCGAAACACCCATCTTCGCGCGCCCCTAGATGAGAGAGGAAGACACTTCCCCTCCTCCTCCACCGGATACCATCTCTTCTTCGGCTTCCTTCCTATCCCCCCAAAGAAAGAGGGAAGGCAGGATGACAAATCGATGATTGTTCTGGCCAGATTTGCTTGGCGGGATCGTTTCTTAACGGGGCGCATTGTGACTCGTGGCCTATTCCTTTCGACGAGTCTCTCCTTCCGCACGGAGAAGAGATAACTCATATTTATACAAAGTACAAGCTTTTCGTAAAGTGGAACGATTTAAAGAATGATTCTTCACAATTTTAAAATTAACGCGTTTCTATAATAAATTTTTAGAAAAAGAAGAAAAGAAAGAAAAGAAATCTTTTCTTCTGCACGGCTCTCCTCGAAGGAGAAGAGATAACTTATATTTATACAAAGTACAAGCTTTTCGTAAAGTGGAATGATTGAAAATTTCAAGAGAGAATTTTATTGATTCTTCACAATTTTAAAATTAACGCGTTCCTATAATAAATTTTTAGAAAAAGAAGAAAAGAAAGAAAAGAAGTCTCTCCCTCCGCACGGCTCTCCTCGAAGGAGAAGAGATAACTTATACAAAGTACAAGTTTTTCGTAAAGTGGAACGATTGAAAACAGGTTCAAGAGAGAATTTTATTGATTCTTCACAATTTTAAAATTAACGCGTTCCTATAATAAAAATTTTTAGAAAAAGAAGAAAAGACGAACGATTGTAATACGATTGGTTAAATCTGTGAAATCGATGGATCGATTTCAATCGAGGCAAATAATTGCCCTCCTCTTCCTTCCCTGCCCCGAATTTTAATCTCCGCGCGACGTCACAACGAAGAGGGCAGATTTACAGGTCCATCGGGCTACAATTCACCCCCTATTAACCGGCCTGACATTTATAAAATTTACGAATATTTAACGGGTGCTCCGTTGGAAGGATCGAGCGCACGCTCCAAGCCGCTCCATTATTCCGCTCCCGTTGGACGGTCGACAAACAATTTTTGGAGGGCGGCCTCGATTCGACGAAAGAACGAACGAATTCCCCGTCGTAAATCAACCACGAGCTCGCGTGCCAACTCGCCCTTCGCGATGCTCCCCGGTTATTAAAGCGGCGCTCGAGCCATCCGGGATGCGCCTGGGCGATAAGCCGAGGCCTTAGCCCAGTTCAGCCCCCTCCCTTCCATATCCATCGCGTGGGTGGACGATTTTATCACCCGATAAAGACATCGCGCCGACGAACCTCCCCTCCTTCCCTCGCGATATTCGTAACTCTACCCTCCTCGAGAATTATCCTGCGATAAATACGATAATTTTCCTAAGGAGGATCCATTTGTAGCCTCACTTTGTATTATATAATTGGTTTCGAGTTGCTGAAGACTACTTTACTTTTCTTCGAATGGAAAACTTTCTCTCGGATTCTTTCTCCTTTTGGGACGGAGAATCAATAGTAGAAGTGTTAGGATTAAACATTATTGATGAGAAATAGAATTTTTTATTTATATATTCAAAAACTCATCGTTTCAGGGGTGTCTTTTCTTTTTTTATAAAGTTACAACAAGAGTTTAAGATAATTTTTCGATTCTTTCTCCTTTTGGAACGGAGAATCAATAGTAGAAGTGTTAGGATTAAACTTTTATTGATGAGAAATAGAATTTTTTATTTATATATTCAAAAACTCGTCGTTTCGGGTCTTTCAGGGGTGTCTTTTTTTACAAAGTTACAACAAGAGTTTAAGATAATTTTTCGATCGAGTAAAATAAAAAATTCGTCTGAGAGATGTCTTCTCGAATCCAGTCCCGTTTTCGAAAGGAGGAGGAATTCCTGTGGACGGAGCAACGTTCTCTCTCCTCCTCGAATTTTTCTTCCCGGTTGGAAATCGGTCGATTCCAGGTCACCGAATCGGTGGATGGAGATCACGGGGTGATTAAATTACGCAAAAGTTGCTTTGACCGGCCGTTCGAGCTGGCATCGGCCACGCGGAACCGTGACAAACCTCGTTTCCGCCCTCCAAAGATCAGTTTCACGGTCCAGCTGAGAGATGAAGGGGATTGAGAGGAGCAAAGAGGGAGGGAAAATAAACTGATGGATTAGAATCGGGGATAACAAGATTCTTGGTAGTGTTTCGATATAAATTGAACCCTACGAGTTTGCGTATAAAACTGTGACGTATTTTGAAAATAAAATTCAGAGGAGACGCTCTTGAAAATAATTTTGCAATGATAAATTATATGCGCGAATTAATTTGCTTGAGAATTTTTTGAAGAGAAATAGTAGTGAGTTTTCACCGCAAATTTCCACTCGCAAGAAATGCTCTCAGAGAGCATTTTATCCCTATTCTTGAGAGAAGAAATAAGGGGCCAGAGAGTTTGAGAGAAAAAGTAGATTGATGAGCGGGGGGAAAGGGAGGAAACAAAGTTGGTCGGATCGAGAGCGAGAAAGTTCGAGATGGAAGAAGTGGAAGGAGGATGTAAGAAATACGAATGGACGATTGTGACGCGTAATCGTGGATGTAATTGCTTTCCAATTATAATTAGATGATGTACTACGACATTTCAGAACCCTTCGTCTTCTTCTTCTTCTTCTTCGTCGCTTCTTACTCTCTCTCTCTCTCTCTTTCCTCCTTCGTCGAAAAAAATCGAAAAATTTACAGGGAAGGGAATAAGACGCGCAAAGTCGAATTTCCAAGTCCAAAAGGGGAGCAAAATGAAGCATTGGGAAGGGATGGAAGAACGGAGGATATGGAGAAAAGAAAAAGGAAAATGGAAAGAGGCGAGTGTGTTCCAAAGGGGAGAATGAAGAAAAAGAAGAAACAAAGGAACGTTAATGGCGGGAGGAGAAAGCAAAGCGAAATACGACGAAATGGAGTGAAAACTAGTGAAAACGGGAACGCAAAAAAAAAAAAAAAAGAAACGATACAGAGGGGGAAAAAGGCAAAGAGCGTTTTAGATGAGTGAGCATATATGAAAATTCGTACGTGCAAACAAGAAATTCAAAACTCGCGCAAAAGGATCATCGATTAATAGAACGAGTCAGCGTTGTAAAATTGCGATCGATATCCGCAAAAGCGTAGGAGAGAGGATCATTTGTCTCTCAATTTTTCCATCCGCTTGATACACAGGCATCCTTTCGTGTTCTTTCGCCACCCAACATTTATGATTCTTCCCGATTTTTCTCGTGCGAGCTTAACCCCTTCTTAGCAATCGCCAACCGGGGGTTGGGATAAGGGGTGGATAAATTTAATCTGGATATTTTATCTGTGAAGAAAAATCAACGATACGATCGATTACGATCACTTTTGAAGTAAGCCATTGTTATAGTAGAGAGAAGTCTGTTGGAAATTGAACTGTTCTTCTGTGCGTTCAAGTAAATAGGGGATGGGTATCGATATGGTGGAGAAGAATGTTTCTTCTTTTTCTTCTTTTTTTTTTTTTTTTGTGAGGGATAGATTCAAAAGAAAGAGTTTCGAAGGGTAAATTTTCGAGTTAGTTATCGATAGATACTACTTGTATCAAATTTGTAACTTTTTTTGGGACTTTTTTATTTCATCTCCAGCAATATGGTTTTTCGATAGCGTGAAGGGTGATAATTGAAAAAGAAGAAGAGAAAAAAATATATATATATATATCTGTAATCCCTGTGGATACACAGAAAGAAAATAAATGGTCACCGATGAATCGAATTTCCGGTTGAAATCCTTCAATTCTAGATGAATGCACTTTCAGCTTGTTCATTCAATTCGTATCGAACAAAAAGCGTATTGAAAGTAAAGAGAGAAACGAGTATCATCGATCGTGATCTCTGTTTTTATCTTGGTTCAAGTGTCGGGATCGGAATTTTTCGAGCCTTTTTTCTCTCTCTCTCTCTCGTTCGTAATTAATAATTCCAAAAAACTGAAATATTTAATTAATTCGTTAACGTCGATCTTCTTTGCGTGTATGGTCCCACTGAAAAATAAAAATTAATTAAAAAACATATATGGATATATCATGGATCATGAATGTTACTTTCCAATTAAAAAAAGTTTAAAGTAAAACAATTTGACAGATAATAATAAATCGAAAGAAGAATAGATTTATTAACAATCGTTTCAACAGATTTATCTCGGTGGACGACAAAAATTACCGTATCCAATAAGATTGTACTCCAATAAAAATTCTCTCCCTCTCTCTCTCTCTCTCTTTCGAAGACGCATTGAAAAATTTCGACGATAATAAGCAGATGAAGAAAAAAGGAATAAATACGAAAAAAAAAGAACAAGAAACAAAATAAAAATATACGCGTCTTCCACGCGATCCACTTACTCGGCTGTCATCGGAAATGCAACGAGCATTCTTAAGTATCGATTCAACCGCGACCCCTTTGAAGGCAACATTCACGCCTCGTTCCAGCCTAGGAGAGAAGACACATTCGAACGCCATTACGAAATTACCGAATTTCGAATGCATCATCCCCCCTTCTTTTCCTTTTTTCCTCCTTCGAAAGAAGTTTAGAAGGAAAACTACTAAAATCTCGAAAATCCTCAGAGGCGTCGGAGAATTAAACCACGCGGACTGTCCAGCTATTTATTCGAATCGATCGATTCGACGTTGGTGGATACGGTGAATACAGGGGCCGAGATGCGGTCGGCAACGTCCACCATGTTGGATGATAGGTCAATGCTATGGCAACTCGTCGTGTCACGGGTTTATACCGGTTCGTTGATCCGGGTACGAATCGAGGGGGTACGGGTCAGTGGGCGATCGAGTATCCCAGACAATTGGCCCAAAATCGGTCCATGGTGTGGTAAAGATGGGGGAAGACGTTTCCGAGGGCGTGCGCCTCGTCCGTGTACGTCTGCTGCTGGAACATTATGTCGCCGTTCACCAAAGCCTTGTTCAGCATCATGCTTTGTTGATAGTGCACGTTGTCGTCCGCGGTTCCGTGTATCAGCATGTACTTTTTCCCACGTATACCCTCCACCCGTCTGCTCACGTCCGTGTCGTTGTAACCCCTCTGATTGTCCTCAGGGGTGGGCAGACCCATGAACCGTTCCGTGTACAAGGAATCTGAGGAATTCAGAGATTCTTTTTTTATTTTATCACAAAGAAGAAAGAAGGTTCTTTTACAAGGGGATTGTGAAGATATTTTTAAGCCATGAATCGTTCCGTTTACAAGGAATCTGAGAAATTCAGAGATTCTTTTTTTATTTTTCCATAAAGAAGAAGAAATATCGAATTTAGATTCAGGGGTTCTTTTACAAGGGAATTGTGAACTTGTGAAGATATTTTTAAGATATGAACTGTTTCGTGTACAAAGAATTTGAGAAATTCAAAAATCCTTTTTTTATTTTTCCACAAAGAAGAAAGAAGAAATATCGAATTTAGATTCACGGTTCTTTTACAAGGAGATTGTGAAGATATTTTTGAGCCATTCCGTGTACAAAGAATCTGAGAAATTCAGAGATCATCCCTTTTTTATTTTTCCACAGAGAAGAAGGAAAAAAGAAGAAATATCGAATCATTGAATTTAAATGGTTCTTTTACAAGAGAATTGTGAACTCGTGAAGATACTTTTAAGCCATGAACCATATACAAAAAAATGTGAGAAATTCAGAGATCCTTTTTTTATTTTCCCACAAAGAAGAAAGAAGAAACATCGAATTTAGATTCACGGTTCTTTTACAAGGGGATTGTGAACTCGTGAAGATATTTTTAACGTGTTAAACGGACTTTATGAGAACGTGAAATTACCGTAATAAATCCAAGAGGTCACAGGTGCGACTGATATACCACATTTGAACACCGATTCGGTGTCGGTGGCCAGCACCATGGCGGTCGAGAAACCGCCGTAACTCCAACCCCATATACCCGTCCTGTTTGAATCGATCCACGAATACTTTTGCTGCAGGATTCTGAAAACGTAAAATTCTCTGTTAAAGTATTTATCCAATAATAAATATATAACTTCAACACCACCTCGTGATAACAATCTGATCCTCGATCTCGACGGTGCCGAGTCGTCGATAGATCTCGAATAGCATCTTGCTGCCTTTGTAAGCTGATCCACGCCCATCGATGCGCCCATAAATTACGCTCCTGTTGGTCACTATGTACGACTCGAACCCGTACGTCGCCTCCTCTGTAATCCTAACAGTGTTCGGCCCTGCGTAGCTGCGAATAGAAAACAATGGAAGAAGAAAGATGAATTTCAGAGGAATTCAAAAACGAAATCTTTGACTATTCGAAGAAGATAATCTATTCCGATCGTTCGAACACTTACACGTTGATCAACAGGGGATACTTTTTCTTCTCGTCGAAATCGGGCGGCAGATAAAGTTTAACCTTGTTCGTGTACCCGTTCGCGTTCACGTTAAAATTCTTGATCACAGGTCGCGTTCGACCTGCCACCTTCCGTCTCAGCGATCGATTTTCCTCCCAAATGAAGATCTGCCTATGGTTCGCGTTCATGATGGTGATGAAGACCGGGTCGGGGCCGGCGCAATGCAACGCGTAATGAGAAGCGTTGATGGAGAAGTAGGCGTAGGCGTAGGTGCAATGATTCCCTGTAATTTTTTTTTTTCCCCCATAATTCGAACAAAATTCGAACAAAGATCGTTCTCATCGATTGTCGCGAGCGAAAACGATGCCCTTACCCTCGGGGGTGAGAAGCTCGCACGACAAGCAAAGGGGCGGCTCGTTGCCCTCCAATTGCACGGAGTACAGGTTTTTGTGGGAAGGTTTGGCTAGCTCCGTGCCTAAATAATAGAGCCTACTTCTTGCGTGGTCGACGAGCAACAGGGATACGACCTCGTTCGTTCCTGGCGTCAAATCCGTCTCGTCTACTAGGAACCCGTTCCTGTACTCGAACCTGGTCGCGTGCAGAAACCGTCCGGCCTTCGTTCCCGAGTCTTGAAGCTTCACAATGATCACATATTGGTTGTGATAGAGGGGCGATTGGATACGAAGCCAACCCTCGGTCTCCTCCTCGTAATAAATATTATTAGCGTTACCCTTCGTGTCGTAGAGCACTAATTGGGCCTTGTTCTGCACCCTGTTCGTCCACGTTGCAACAATTTCGCCGTCCCTCCTCCAGTTCGCGGTATAAAGAACGTTATCTCTGTATTGGGGGGAGAGGGGAGGGAGGGGAACGATAAAGAATATCGATTTAGAAATATATCGCGAAATATTTAATAAGACTCGTCCATTCTATACCTGAATTAATAAAATAAAATTCTGTCATCATCGAATGGAAAATTGAAAATATTGAAATTTATCGTTAAAAAAAAATCGATAATGATCGTATCAGATTTTTTGAATAATTGCGAATTAATCGTAATCTTGAAAGGGAAGTGGATGGAATCGTGTAACGAATCAAACGAGTTGTTCCCTCAACGCTTTGCTCTCGACTTTTGTGATATACTCACGCTCCAACGACATCTATAGGCGGCCGAAGATCGATCAATTTCGAGGAGGGATTGTGCAAGTCGATCACGCTCAGGGACACGAATGGGTTCGTAGTACCCGCCTAGAATTCGAAGAAAAAAAAAAAAGGAAATAAAATAAATATACGCTTATACATATTCGTACAATCGAACAACAAATTCTGTCAAAGGGCCTATATCTTTTCGAATATTTTCCACGTATTTTCTCTTCTTCGAGGGGGGAAAAAAAAAAAAAAAAAAAAAAAAAAAAAAAAGGGAAACATGATACAACCCTTTCCATCCCCTTTTAAACCCTTTCCCTTCGTTGAACCTCCGTTTCTTCGCGCCAAAACTCCTAGCACTCGAGTACTTTCGCGATTTTCAACAACAAAGGGGTTCAACTTTTCTTTTCCTTTTTTTCTTCTTTTTTGAAAATGACGAATACGAAAATATATATCTACTTTTGGATATTTTATCTTGATCTCGTTCGGATATTGATCTCTCAAGTTTCCAGGAGAGCCGTATTTAGATATTACGATATCGTGGACGTTGGTATCGTTGAAGGTTGCGAAAGCAAGATGTTGTCCATCGGGCGAGATCCAGAATGCGACGGGTGAGCCCAGCACTTCCTCTGTAAATCATCGCGGATTAATATGGATTATTCGATTATCCGAATGTCGATTAAAAATCCGAATGTTTTTTTTTTTTTTTTCCTCTCTCTTTTCTTTTCTCTTTCTTTTTCCATTGTTGTTTTCGATTACCCTCGTAAACCCAGTCGGGTATCCCGTTGAAAACGATGTCGGGGACGCCGGTGTTCGTTATTCTTCGAGTGTCGCTGCCACCCTCGAAGAACACCTGATAATAGATATCGTTCTTGTGAACGTAAATCAAAGCGTTCCTCGTGGGCGACCATTTGAACAGTGGTATGCGATCGCCATTCGCGATATCCGTGAACGTTCTGCGATATATATAAAAAAAAAAAAAAAAAAAAAAAAAAAAAAAAAAAAAAAAAAAAAAAAAAAAGAAAGAAAGAAAAGATAAACAATTTTTTATAATTCGTAATTCGAACAGGTGAGAATTTGAATATATTATTATTATTATTATTATTATTATTATTATTAGGATTCGTTTCTTTCCTTCTCTCTCTCTCTCTCTCTCTCTCTCTCTCTCTCTCTCTCTCACTCTCTCCCTCTCGGATTATTCGCAACGGAATTATTTTCAACAAACGCGTGTATTATCGGTCGTTAATATTATCATTATTTCCAACGACACTGTGCAATATCGTTTATATCGTTTTTTTGAAATTTGATTTATCAGCGAGTTTATTACGTAACGAATGTAATATTATAACGTATATAATAGGGTAATATAAAAAAAAAAAAAAAATAGATAATTCTAACCTGGATTTAATGTCGTACACGGTGCACTTTTGGTGTATCGAGTATCGAAATCCCTGGAAAAGTTGATGTTGGGAAAAGATTATGTCGATATTTGAAGGAAGGGGAGGGGAAAATAATAAGTGTCACTCACGGTTATGTAGTCGTGGCCGATGGCTACGTAGGAATTGTCGAAAGAAAACATCACGGAGGCTTTATCGAAATCGGCCTGAAACCATATATTAATTAAAAGGATTGACCCAAATGACGTGAGTGTCGATTTTTAAAAAAAAAAAAAAAAAAAAAAAAAAGAGAGAAATCGTCGAAATTTTGAAGGAGACGAGGAGAGACGAGGATCTGTTCATCGTTTCTTAATCGACGTAACAGAGATAAGAGGAAATTGACGCTAATAGGAATTATATCTGGCCAATATGGCGGAATGAATGCTCGATTGATATCGATGTTATTGGTTTCAGATACGATACGTTAAATCTTAGATCTTAGTTGGAGAGATAGAAACGACGATTTCGATATAACATCGAAACTTCACGTCGATCATTCTTTCTTGAGAAATATTTTTGAAATTGTTTGATTAAATGATGCTTCGACTAAACTTTATCTATTCTTCTTCTTTTGTAAATACTTCTATAAGATATATCGAAAATATCGAATCTAAAGATTTAATCTGTAAAATATTTACAGATATATTATTATGAACAATATACACGTGTAAAAGAAGTTTCAAAAGTCTCCGATTGCACAAGTTTCGAATAGGTCAGAAAGGGTTTACGTGGAATGTCGTTGAACGAGGCGCGAATGAAAATTGAAACGGAGAAATGTCAAACAACGTGTCTCTTGAATCAACAACAATTCGATGTTGATTCACGGATTCATCAGATTTCATCACCGTGTTTTCATTGGTTAAGAAGCTGGACGAATTTCCTCGATAGAGGGGAAACATTCAATTGCAATTTCTTCCTCAAATTGAAACGTAATTTATCGCGGCCAAAATTTGCCTATATATAAATGATACCTTGTTTCGACTTCTTTCTTTGCAAATAAAAATCGATTTCAAAATTTCGACTCGTCTCTGCTTCCGTATCGATACATATTTCTTTAATTATTTTTCATATATAATTATATTTAATTATTTTATATTAAATATAATATATTTAATTAATTTTCATTTTTCATACATGCACGCGATAAAGAAAAGATAAATCTTACCGTCACAGACGAATCGAGGAGAACGGTACCCAACCCGGTCGTAACGTCGAACAATCGAATATCGCCGACGTAGTTATCCGAATAAAGGATTTCCCTGTCCGTTTTCCAGGTACCGTTGAAATTGTTCGCCCGGAAACTTTGATCGTAAGTCTCCTCCAGCTTGAAAGGAACCCTTACACCCTGATGATCCTCCTCTTCGAGGGGCTCGTATCTCTCCAAGTCCTGGTCGATCACTCGTGGAACTGAATAAGAAGGAGAAGAAAAAAAAAAAGAAACTCTCATTTTTTACATTTTTCGATTCGCGGAATAAACATGGAAGAAGAAAAGTGAAATAGTCGTATCGGGGGAAATGGAATAATTCCAAGTAGTCTAAAACCTCGATTCGATAGGGAGAAAGAAGGAGAGAGGCCGATTAATCTCGTGTTTATTATTCATTAAGCCGTAACTGGGTCAATAACGTCGTGACTCGATCGTGATCTGTATTACGCGTGTATTACGTTCAGGTGTTCGAACGAACACCGAGAGAGAATTTTAATTCTCTCTTTACATGCGTTGTTAAATAACTTTGATTTTATTTATTGAAATCTAATGGCGCTCTTGTCAAACGTTTAAATCAATTCCGATGGACGGGGGATTTTTTTCAAAATGATCCACGAGGAGGTAGAAAAAGAATATAAATATCGTTATCGGACGATGCGCAAGGGTGGGCACGATTATCTCGTATATAATTTTTTTTTTTTAAAGTATAAATAACTTAACAACCAAAATTAAATAAATAAAATTTAAAAATAATATTTTTATTATAATATATAATTTAAGTCGATTATTATAATTTTTTTTTTAAAATATAAATAACCTAACAACCAAAATTAAATAAATAAAAACTTAAAAATAATATTTATTATAAAAAAATTATTTTTATTAGAAATTAAAAAAAAATATTTTAAATTTATAAATAAGCTTATAAAATAACTATATTTTTTAAAAAGAAATATTTTAAATAAAAGCTTTCAACTTTGCAAAAGATTTAAAAAATCTATATTTCTTTATTTTTAATAAATTCATTTATATAGTTTAAAAAAGAAAACATTATATTTTCAATATAAAATTAATTATACGAATTTATAAATAAATTTATTTATATAACAAGCTAATAAAAGCTAATAGATTCATACCCTAAATTAAAAATTCTCATACAAATAAAGTTTATTTAATTTATTTTAATGTCAAAGCGCATAAAATTTTGAATTTAATAGAATTAATTAAATTAATAAATTGGATATTGGTTCAAACTTGAAACATTTAAATTGCATTTAAAAATTAATACTTATTCTTATTATATCTAATTTCTTTTTTAAAAAAAAAAAGAAGCAATTATAATCCGATAAAAGAAATATTTTGATAAGATATAAATGTAATACTTAAAAAAAAATATACCATTACTTAATAATAATATTCATATAATATTATTTCATTAATTTTTATTAATTTAAAACATAATTTATTTATTCACACATATATTAATTCATTTTATTATTTTCTATTATAAATTCAAATAATACTTTTATCCAATGAAGATATTAATAGAATTTAGAACAATTATTAGAATTATATTAATTAATATTAAATGGTGAAATAAAATTCCAAGATAATCGAGGCAAATAACGAGGCAAATCGGCGAAGGGCATTAGCCTGGTTCCCGCCGATCTCGAGGCATCCGGATGTATCTCGAGACATCCGGTCCCTAAGCGGCTCAACGGAAGCGCGATTATCTCTCGGGGACAAAGAAGGGGAAGACTTACTGGATTTTCCAGCAACAAGGACGACCAGCGATCCGTGCACCACCAGCAGCAGCGCCAGCTGTACCAGTAAAACCTGGAAAACGTTTCATTCTCTTCAATTGGAAAAGAAAAAAAAATATACACATATATATACATATATATAAAAAGAAAGAAAGAGGAAGAAGAATCCTTTCTATTCTATTCTAACGTCCCTTCTGCCTCGTGACGTCTTGTCGAGCCGCAGGGTGGAAAAGAGGGAAACGCGTAGCATCGGTGAAAAGGAAGGAAAGCGTTGGGTCCCGGAAGCGAAACACGTGCGTCGCATAAAAGTTCTCCCGAAGAAACGTGGCGCAGTTGCCGTGGCGAGGAAATAATGATTCCTCCTCCATTTAATCCTTTTTGTTGCAAGCAAGAGTAATCATACATTCAATAATAAATAGTTTCCTATTTTAAACGTAATCATATCGTGCGGAGAACGCTTCGACTATTGAAGAGAAATAGAAAAGAGTAATAAGATTCTTATTCCACTATCACCCTCTATTTAATTCGCATGTCTCTATTGTCTTTCTTATTGGATATATATATATATATATATACACAATTTCTTATCGACTTCTCTGAATGACAGCCAAACTCGATATTCTCTATACACCCAAGTTTACCCACTGGAAACTCGTCGAAACGTAGAATCGAGTTGCTTAGTATCAAGTGGCGAAGGATGATCCCGTTTATCCAACGAATTGGAAACTGGTTAAATCGTATGAAAAAGGAGGAAGAAGAACCGGTCCAAGGACTGGTTGCACGCGGTGCGAAAAAATGCGAGATAAATCGACTTGAGCTGCACGTGAAAAGTCGAACGGAAGCCTGAACTCGGGCTCGACTACTCGGTTGTTGCGAATCTTTAAGCGGATAGGTCGCCGATCCTTGTTCACCGTCGAATCGAGTTTGGGGGGATGTTTACCCGCGACGCTTGATATTTAGAGAGCTCGATCTCGTTACAAAACGCGTTTCCATCAAAGGCCGTGCGACGGAAAGTTGGACGGATATCGAATTTCGATCGATTTGTTTTTCGAAGAGTCAAAAGTTACTCGAATTCCCCCCCTCCCCCGTTTAATGTGTCCACGATTGTCACGACACGGCCTATTACGATAAAAAGTTTAAAAAAGTGGAAAGACAAAAAGTCGGAAATTTTTAAACTTTTATGGCGTTGGATAGCGAAGCAAAGGCGACGACAAATAAAATTGAATTTTTGTCGGTTAAAAAATAGAGTGGAAAGAGTCATTTGCGAGTGTTCGAAAACGGAAATCTTTCAACGAGTTTCTCGCTAGCTTGATGAAAGAGGAGAGAATGGCCTGTTTAAAATTAAATAAACTCGTGAATTTTCTTTTCTTCCAGACGAATTTAGAATGCATCCAAACGAACGTGCAATTGTATTCAATTATTCGAGGGAAACGAATAGAAATACGAAACAGTAGAATCGATTTGAAAAGGATTACAATAACGTGAGAAAATATATATTTAATCTATTATTTAACCGATTAACGGATCAAATTGTACATTTTACAAGTTAACCTCCATCTTTTCGTTCCGATTCTCCAAGCACGCACGCACGGAGACGTTTCTTTTCCTCGAAAACACTTTTACATAAGTGATATAAACACGTTGCGTGGCTCGTTCTCTCGCGATCACGTGGTGATTTTCACGCTTCGAAATCCGTCAATTTCGCCCTGTTCCATCGAGAAGCGACATATCCGTCGAATAAAACTCTTGAAGGAAAATATCGAAAGGGGAAATTTAATCGATTTAACCCTACGTTAAACGATTTACTTCAGTCGGTGAAAAAATTAATAAATACCGCGTTAAACGTCATTCTCCCCGATAAAAAAAGAAAAAAGCAACGATTCCGTGATCAAACGCGAATAACGTCACGCTTAAATATCTCTGCTCGAAATGAAAGAGATAAAATTGCTGTCACGTGCCACGAGACTCGAATAAACGGATCTTTATAAAAACTTCAACAAATTGCATGTGTATACAATTATCGCTTGAAACGATAAAATAATAAAAAATAAACAGATATCTATCACTTTCTACGATCGAAACAACAACTATTCGTCGTCAAAAACTTTAAAAGCCCTTATTTATATACATATATATATATATATATATATATATAAAATAAATTTAATTATAAAAATAATTATAAAATTTAAAAATTTTATAAAATAAAAAATTAATATTTAAAAAAAAAAAAAAAATTTTATACTAATAATTTTTAACCTTTATTATTTAATATGAATAATAAAATTAATTTTTAATTTTATATTTAAAATTTTTATTATTTATATCAAATTATATTAATATTAAAATTTAATTTATATATAGGGATAACAGCGTATAATCATTATTATAATATTAAAATGTTTCTTCCTTCTCTAAAAAAAAAAAAAAAAAAAAAAAGAAATCGGATATACTTCTACCATCTCGACAAATTTTCTTACTTTTCCAATCTCCTTTCCAAGCAAAGCCTTCCTTGCGAAGGAAAGGAGGGGGAGGGAAAGAATTGGATCACCCACGAAGCGAGAGGGCGACTCCTCGATAACCTTACCCTCACGTTCCCCGGCATGGCGACCACGTGGCAGCGTGTCGTCGTCGTCCTCGTCGTCGTCGTCGCGTCTTTCCCTGTTGTTGCCTCTCGTTTCAGTGACGATCGAGAGATCGAGGGGCGCCACGATGGATGGCACGGGTACGTCCAACACCGACTGATCCATCACGTAGTTTTCCGACGTGCCGGAGGCGGCGATCACTCCCACCTCCGAGCGAGCGAGCGAGCGAGCGAGCGAACACAACACGGGATATCTTCACGTTTTCCCGTTTCCGATTTTAAGGAAATCCCCTCCCTTGTTCAATAATTCTCTGTCCTCGAGGAGAAGAGGATTCTTGCGAAAGGAGAGAATAGGAAAGGGATGATCGATATATTTTTAGCAGTTTTATTTCGAGAAAGAGACAGAGATATCTATGGCATAGTAGTAAAAGTAAGGTGTGTAATTGGGGAAAATGATATCTCGAGAGGGAAATGTTATACGATTTATTTTCAGTCTTTTTTATTCCGTTGTCCTTCGATTTAGAGAAATAGATGATATCGAATTCGATCGATTCTTCATTCGATTACATTTCTCGAACGCGTTGTTTATTCACGCGAATATCATCTTCTTACAATATCCTATCTCTCTTTTATCTCGTCGTTATCTCCCTTGGTTACCCAAGTTTATCGCGACAATATCGACTTAGCTCCATTCGATCGCTACAAAACAACTATAATCTCCCCCCACCCCTTCCAATAATCGATACCGCTTTTAAAAAAACGATAAGAGTGCAGCGCGAGAAAAAATTCCGTTATCCGTCAAGGAGAGTCGACGGCCCGCGTAAAGGATTGCATCCGGGATTGACTGGTTGAAAAAAGAAAGAAGAGGAGAGAGAGAGAGAGAGAGAGAGAGAGAGAGAGAGAGAGAATTGAAGGGAGATCGAAAATCGGATTAACACGATCGACTGAAACGAGTATCCATCCCGTGCGCCAGGTGAACGGTTCGCGTTCTTTTCCCTTCGTCGGCGAATATAAATCCGTGTGTAACACGGGCCAACCTGTCAATAACCCGGCCAAATTCTTCGCCCGTCGTTTCGAGGAAAAGATACTCGACCGATAAAAACGCACGTAGGTGAAATTATCGCGTGAATTGCCGTCACGAGTCTTGCGTAATCGCCCGCCGCGTGCATCGGGTGCCCTCTAAAAAAAAAAAAAAAAAAAAAAAGAAAAAATGCTAATTCGTTGGATTATCTTTCACTTTGCACGCGTTCGAGTTCAAGTTTCGTATACGCGATAAAATCGTGACGATAAAATCGTGACGATAAAATCGTGAAATTGTAGTAAAAGTTGGATAAAAATTCGATGAATGTTCAATCTCTAAGAATTTTTTAAACTACTGCGCTATCTAGTCGAGGTATTGTTATAAGAAGGTGATAAAGAAATTTAATTTCCATCGGATTGGTGAAGGAAGAGGAAGCTGTCAGTGACGTGATAATGGTGACGTGATTCGTGTCGTACGAGTTTGCCTCGAACGCTATTCTCATGTAGTCAATCTTTCAATTGCTAAGCTTATGGAAAATTACTTCTATTTTACGTTGGAGAACGATACGGGACGGATCGTTGGCGTTATTCGATGTTTCCTTCGTTCCAACTTCGAAAACAATCTTGAAACTTGTTTGCGATACAGAATTTTACAGAGATCTCGTTAAAAGGGTAAACTCGCGAGTCTCGAAAGTTTCTTCCAAACCAACGGGCGAAAACATCATCTTCGGTTGTTGTATTCTTAAAAAGAAAAAAAGAAAAAAAAAAAGAAGAAGAAGCGATAATTCGTTTCGTGTATCGCGTCGATCAAGTTCCGCATATTTTGCTCCAATTAGCAATGTTATTTATGAAAGAGATAATAGGCCGGCAACGGGTCTATCTGCCCGTACAGATAAAGAGCGTAGGTGGTCGCACCGAGGACGCATCGCGTATGAGATAACTCGTTAGGTCAATGCCATGCGAGGCAACCTTTGTGGAGCAAAGTCGAGGCGCGAACTGTTAGGCGGAACCGCCAAGTACGCGCATCTTTCAACGTTCGTTTGACACGGTTCGTGTGACGTAGCTCGGAAGAGTGCCGGAAACAAGCCGCTTATATCGTCGACCTCGACATATCCAATCAACCAATCTTCGCTGAATGCCTATTGTTCCGGTATTTCGAGCGTGATAAAACCTAAGCTGGAAGATATTTCTATAAATCCATCGGTTTATAGAAATGCGATCAAGAAGAAACAATCGAAAGGAGAGTTTGTGGGCGATTATATTTTATTCGTTGTAGTTGGAAAAACTTTGACGAGAAATGTGAATTTGAAGGAAGAAAATCCGAAAAGATAAAAGTTAAAAACGATTTTAAAATTCGCAATAGGATGATTTCTTTAAAGAAGAAAAAGTCCAGGATATTTAAGAATATTGTGTATAATGGGATGGCTATGGAATGCATTAATATGATGTAACGTGATCTCGTTTTTCAAGTGACGTCATTCCTTGTTGATCGAGTAATCGTTCAAACGCCTGCGGGTATGCAACCTATCGTCCTTTACTTCCTACTGGCGCCGATAGGTGGCTCCAGCGCACAATTTAGTAAATTCTGCAAAAAAAGTTATCGACGATCGATTCGCGATAAATTCGAAATTTAATTTTCACCCATACAAATTTTCCTCTATCCAAAAAACACCTTTCGATCGATCGATTTATTAATTTTTGCAAAAATGAGTAAACTCGTCGAACCAACATTTCATTCGTATGCTTTACCCATTGAAATCGAAATAATTCCCACCAGATGGCTATACTTTCACGGCAATCGGTGAGAAACAATTCCATCGATCGATACGAAATTTAAACTTCGATTCAACGCTTTCTTTAAACGTTTCTAATAAACGCGCAATAAAACGACCCTAATAGCGCTAATAGCGCTACGAATTAAAATCTATTCAATAATCCCCACACTGCTTTCCTTCGATAATTCATAATCGCCTTCAAATCATTCCAAAATAACCCCTTCATCAAAGATCCAAAAGTTTTCCCAAACTTTCTTCGACATTCGAGCGAATGCACGCAATAAGAAGCCTACCCTCCAACTCGATGACGTCGTAATCCGGAATATTTCTACCCTTTCGTGGGCGCGTTTGCTATCGATCGATCCGAACGCACGCGGCACTCGTTGCCACGAGTCGCGAAATCGTCTAGGCAAAGCGAGAGAGAGAGAGAGAGAGAGAGAGAGGGTGCAAAAACCCACCCCCCTCGCGATGCCTCGCTATAAGTACCGGACACGAATCGAGCGCGGGCTTATAGGTCCGGTTGCGGTCTTCCTCGTTCGTTCTTCTCCTCGAAACCAGCCCACGAACCGGGGGCCATCGAACGGTGATCTATGAATAGATCCCGAGATCCTCGGCTGCCACCATTTTGATTTCGCGTCAAACGGGGAGATCGATTGACGGAGGACGACGCAGCACGTGCGACATTCGAGTGGGGCGAAGACGGGGAGAATGACAAGGTCGCCGGCCGATCGTGGATACAGGCAAGTTCGACCCCGTCGGTGGAACGCTCGGGGCTGGGATCCATGCTGATCCGTGATGCCGCTTGGAGTCACTTTGGACCGAGTACGCCTTAACCATCTTCCGACAGGATGAAGAACAGCAAGTCGTTGATGGACATCGAGGACATCTGCGGATGCTCGAGACTACCCTCGATCATCCCCAGGAAAGAATTGCCGCACTTAAGGTCCACTTCCGGTGAGTGTGCAAATGTGGGAGAGAGGGGATCGTGGAGGCGTTTTTATCAATATTTCGATCAATTTCGATAGCGTATGTGATTGCGTAGAGATTTGTTTATCGACCGAGCATTCGAAGCAAAGCCTACTTTTGATTTATTTGTCTCGATTATTGTGGAGTATCGTGTTCGAATTTAAATTTGATTTTTTTCTCGATTTGTGTAGGATTTCTAAATCTTCGTTGTATTTGCAGTTCTTCTCTTTTGAAGTTTTTTGACAGATTCCGTTTTACAATTCTTGCCAATATTCTTGGAATTTCGATTTTCGAAAGTATAAAAATTCATCGAACGAGAAAAATATTTGTTGAACTGTTGCGTCTCTTCTCGTTCTTCCATTTATTTTTTTTTTCTGTTCTTTAAAGCTTTTTTTTTTTTCCTTTTTGACACGAAGTGATCTTGTTAAATTTAACGTGATTTCTGTGGAAGCACCATCGATGCTGGCTTGCGCCAGTTTTTTTTTTTTTTCACGCCGCGATACACACACGTGTTATAACAAGCGACTTAAGCTTAAATTAACTTGATAACGAAACTTTGAGACATGTCTGTAAACATTTTTTTCGATACTATTAAATTTTTTTCCATCCATTTTTCATTTAAAGAATTTGGAATAACTTAAAGAATTTAATTTTTTAAATGAAATACGTATCGATCCGACGTAACGAATAATAAAATTTTGTTCTCATGCATTTGTCCAATCCCTAAGACTTTTTACGTCATGGAAAAATTGCAACAAAGAGGCGATCGATATTAACACACGTGCTCTCGAAAGGAAAACTTGAACGATCGATAGAGTTCATAACAAAAACTACTGCATAAAACCTTGAGTGAAAATATTAACTCGTTACGAAATCTTCTTTTTAAAATTTACAATCTCTCTCTCTCTTTCTCTCTAATTATTATAATTTTCAGAATTCTAATTTTATTCATACTTTATTTTCTGAAATTCATTTCTCCTTTTTTCTTCGAATCCTCCTCCTTTCCAAGTTACGTTATTTTTTTTTTTTTTTTTTTTATAGTAATAAAAGCTACATTTTGCTATCTTCTTCTTGAAATTTATATTTAACATTTCCTTTACGCACGATTTTAATCCCTCCGTAAAAAGTTTATCGAAAAAGTTTGTAAAAAAAAATGTTATGGATGGATCAGACTGTTTTATCGTTTCATATTTCACGTTTTATGGTGCATTTTATAAAGCTAATAAATAAAAAGTTTCGAAACATCTTTGATGGAAGAGTGTCTATAAAGATCGATTTAACGTCTCACGAGCTTATATATTTTTCTAGTGTTGGGACAAAATAAACATCAATAAAATCGATATACTATGTTGAACATCTGTTGATGCTAAAATAGCCTGACTCTCAATTAACTGATATAAAAATACTCTCGATAATCTTGATACTTTGACTGAAAAAAAAAAAAAAGAAGAAGAAGAATAAAAACAGAGAGATAAATAAATAAATAAACGATCGCGAAAAAGAAATTTATAGAATTTTAAAAAAATCTATAATTCGAACGGATTTTTCACGTAAAATAACTTATTTTGACTCTCTTAACGATAAATTCTTTTATACGACTCAAGAAACGCAAGAGAGAAAAAAAAGGAAGCGAAGAACCGCAAGAGATTGTAAAAAGGGAGCAATGAAAACGAGACGCGAATAGGGTTGACGATCAAAAAAGAGTCGACTTCAAGACTCTCCTCCTTAAGTGCTATACTTCTTTTTTCTCTTCTCTTTTTTGCCTCCACGAGACCGGCCTCCCTCCTCCAAGTTCGTTTCTGGACCCTTGCTCGCCAGAAGCCTTGAATTTAGTTGTTAACCGGTAGTGCTTACGTTTCCTCGTGTGTTCCTCTCTTCCTCGTATTCCCTCCCTGGCATGCCTGGAAAAATAAGAATAGCTCTCCACTTCCTTTGATCCACCGTTCCCCGACGAAATCTCTCGGAAACGTCAGTTTCGATCGTTCCTCGCCGACGACAACACGCGTCTCGACCAAATACTTCTGAATTTTTCTTTTCTTTTCTTTTCTGTCTCTCTCTCTCTCTCTCTCTCTCTCTCTCAAAGCGATCGATCAAAGTCTTTGATTCTTCTCTCTATGAAATTCGAGAGCGAGCTTCATATTCGATTCGATGAATGAGCTTCTAAGCTTCGATGAAATTACGTACTATTTTTGATCTTTTTTTTTTTAATTCTAGTTGAAGTCGATGAATTAAACGATAGATTAAATTACACGATCGATCAATTCGATCTTGAAATAGGAGCGAGGATTGAATTCCTTTAAAGTTTAAAAAAGATTCCGTTAAAATCATAACAAGAAAAATCAAGTAAACTAGAACAAAGATTTTTACCTTTACAAAAAATCGTCCGAAGGAGAATGCACGAAACGGAATGAAACGGAGCTGCAAGTCACGAAATTGCGCGTGTGCATAATTCGAAGAGAGCAACCAGTCGGATATGATAAAAAAAGAACCGTGTTGGCGACAAAAGGGAGAAACACTTTCGCCGCGTTCGTCGCGATGCCTTTGAAAAGCGTCACGAATTTTCCAACGCTCGGGAAGACGTTGGCGAGGCGGCGAACATTCGCTTAGCTTCGTTGTGTTCCATCACCTCCACAGGGTGTCGCTTTCAGTCTCCTGGCCGAGGCAGGGGCCCCAAGCAGGTGTAACACGGCGTTTCCATTCACCGTGACGTGGTGCCCTGGAACGGACCACTGTGCACGCTTCTACTACGTCTTCGAAGGAAATCCTCTGCTGTTTGCTCGGTGCTCTTTGCAAACACACTTCGCTTCGACTACCGAAAGTGATGAATATGCCAGGACACGTGCTGGAAAAGGAACACCGTTAGTAATCACCGTTAAGTGGAAAACAGATCGGTTTTATCGCGTGCTTGTGACAATATTTACAAAGTATAAAGACACACTATTTTTCATACGACACGAAACGCTTAAGAATGATCGTGTTTTCTTTCTATACTGGCGTCACTCTATACTCGATGATAAATATATAAAAGGAAAGAGGTAGTCGAATAAAGGGAGTGTGAATAATGTGTGATCTGTAGTTTGAAAGGGTGGTTTTGAAAGTGTAGAGTTTGTAGTGGACTGATCGGTGCAGGAAGAACGTCGAAATGGTTTTCTTCGGGAGAAAGGAGAAAATTGAAGACCGGCGATTGCTAGCCAGCATCGACGCTGTGAATGGCGCCAAACTGTATCACATAGAAAATGGTAAAAGCCGATTAATAATTTAATCAGGAGATACGAATTCGTTTAGTTTTTTTACCTACTTACTTAGAAATCGAACAAGTTTTCGATGTCTAGATTCCTTGAAAATTAAGAAGAAATATTTAGTCTCAAGATTTTACGAATCCAAGTATTCCCTCGTATTTCTCCAGCTAGGCGCTGCGAACAAACTTTACCCGTATCTAAATATTATTCCGCCGCGTTTACGCATTTCGTTCTGGTCCTTGGCGAATCAAAATACTCTCTTGCAAATTTATTTTCTTCCTCTTTATTTTCTTTCCTCGATTTTATATTAAAGAAATAAATAATCTAAAAAAGAGACAAAAACGTATAACTTCTGTCGAAAAATATTCATCAGTTCCTTTTCGCGTCAAAACTGGTTTAAAACTTTTATCTTTTCTCTCTCTCTCTTTCTCTCTCTCTCTCTCTCTCTCTCTCTCTAAACCAGACGAGAAATAGGTCGAGGCGCTCTGGAAAGACGATACGCGATCGCCATAGTCCGCCTCTATGCATTCGTGGTTCGATGGCTTCGTGTAACTACATGCATTTATCATGCAAACGTTTCCTCGTCGACATTACTTATCGTCGTACATTCAAGTGGCCAGTCATCGTATATCACGGCTACTCGAACCTGAAATATGATCTCCTTTCCGATAATTAAGCGACATCGTAAAGCGTGGAGATACAATTGATTCGACAAGTTGCCTCACCGATAAATTTTTCTCGAAAAATAAATACGTTCCCCTTGAAAATTGTTCCGTAAATTAAAGCCGAACGAGAGTGAAAAGATGGAACGAAATCCGTTTGTGGCACTAATTAGTCCCGGCACTTGTGAATGGATTCAATGTTAATTGACACCAACTAGAAGACTATTGTTAGCGGCACAATGATTCTTTGGTCCTTGAGCTTGCTCTAGATCACGACGGTGTTATAGAGATATTCAATAAGTTAAAATTTAGAATCGAGAATTGAATAATTCTCTCAGATTCTCATTAATTACGCCGCCTGATCTGAAAAAAAAATATAAACCTGTCATTAACGGTAACTATCAGCAATGCGTATCGAAATCTAATATTCATTTATATGTATGAAGGAAGAACGTAATAGGATCTTAATCTTGTAAAATTATATTCATAATATCGAATAATTATCCAAATTTTTAACGATACGTTACCGTTATTTTGATCCACAAGTTCATTAATCCAAATATCAATTTGTACGTAAATCAAAATTTTACTTTAGAATTTCTTTTCTTCCTTTTTTTTTTTTTTTTTCTTATATAACTTTTTATTCCTAACCTATATGCAATAACACAGAACTTTTGGTTATCTTGACTAATCGATATATGAGAAATTTTATATCGTCTAATGAATTTTCTATTCTAAAATTAATATTTAAAAATCCATTCTCCCATTTCCAACGAAATGTCTCGTGCTCCGTCTCCAGCCACCTGTGGCTATATCCCAATATTGATCCGACGAATGGCCACACCCGGCATCCCCTCGCGTCGCTCTTCTACACCCTCACGACGACGCTCGTGCCGGCAGTGTCGTTGCCCTTCGCGCACGACGAGGTAACACGGTGTTATGGAAAAGTGCCTGGTCACTGTTCCAGCCGCCTTCATGCACGTACGCGACAACCTGGAGGAACTGGGCAAGGTGGCCGACGACACGGATCTGTTGTTTCTCAAAGGCCTCTTGGACAGCCCTGTAGTCACGTCTCTGGTTAAGGTGAGTGAACAATAGTTTTCATTGCAGTTTCCTCCTATATTACATCATCTTCCTTCCATTTTGCTTTCAATTGTTACGATAAAATCTACGCGAGATCGAAAATCTTGTACAAATTCCCTTCGAACAATTAAAATTGTGCATTTCAAGTTTTGAGGTTAATCCATATTCTGTTAACTATAAGGTTATGGCGATGGACACACATTTTTCGCAAACGATAAAGGAATTAAACTGTGAAGTGATTTCTTTTTTTGAAAGTAAAGTTAATATTTAAAAAATGTTATTGTTATTCTAAATTCTAAAAAAGATTTTTTAGAAAAAAATGTTTCCGAGTGAATACCAGTGATTCTTGCCTTCAAACGTTCAGTCGACTCCTTAGATCTATTAGCGCTTGAACAAACGCTTTACAACTTTTTCAATTTAATTTTTCTTTAACTCGATTAATTGCAACCATTATTCGCGTTTGTGTATTATTTTTGGCATCGATGAAATAAACAATAGTGTGCGTCGTTGGATCATGCGCGATGAGAGTGGATAACTCGAGACACATGCACGTGCCACGTGTTTACTACGGTCGGCGGCCGCTCGATTTTACGAGAAAGAGATGTTCATTTATGAGATTGTTCGTCTGCCGTGAAATCCTCGTATATTCAACATTGTGAAACGAAAAACGTAACTCGTCTCTTCGCCGCGTTCGGTAAAAATCCTTCGTGTCGTTGAACCCGTTTCTTCCTCGAGACTCGTCTGGGATCGGTTTCTTAGCTCGTTCTTATAAATAGGAGAGATACTCGTGCGATGGAACAGCTGGATTCGTCGTCGTTTAGTCTGTGTTGCTATTCTATTTTTTATTGTTCGATTGCTGGGCTTTGTTAAGAGAATTTTATACACGAAGATACTTGGTTTTTTGATTCATTTTTTTATCTTTATCTTTTTAAATAAAATGTATATTTCAAACGTATTTTTTTCTCTTTTCACTTTCTAATGTTTCAACGTTTTATCTTTTTCTTTTAATAAAAATATCACTTGGTTTGTTACGTGTAATTTTCTGCCACGTTAATAAGTATGTCGTCGTTCATTTTCGATTTCGTTTCAATTTTATAATTAATTATAGTACAAATTTGTTTTACTCAACTTTTAGTTTCAATCTCTTGTTTCATTACGATATATACCTTACCTAATTAGAAAAAAAAAAAAAAATAGTTTCAACAGCTGTATTCTTGTTCATCAAGGTACTATTGTGTCGTTCCATTGTTTAATCCACATTATACAATGTCTATCAATAATTCCACTATACAATCCATCAATGTTCGTTTAACGCGTTACTTAAACAACTTACAAAAGATATTATCATCTATACATCAACTTTTAAATTTTACATTAACTTTTAAATTTCTTGAATCTTATATCAGAATCGAATCTTGCTTCATCTGATAAAATTCTGAAAATTAAGCAAGAAAATATGAATTTTTAAATATATCTTTCAAAAATTCTTTTCAAGAAATTGTTCACAATTTCTCTTACCTTGTTTATATAATAATTTATAAATTCAGAATATCGTTCTGCTAATTAATAACATTATACTTATTCGTATTAATTATGACATCCTTCACATCAGTCTTACTCTTTGCATTCATCATCATTTAAAAGACTAAACTTTTTAAAAGGCTTCCAACAATATATTCATAAAAAAAATTTGAATATTCATTCAAATCCTTTATTTCAATATCATCCTCCTTGTCCAAAGATGAGTCAACATTTCATTATACGCGAACTAACTTGATTTCTTCGAAATTCAAGATAATTATACCATTTAAGTTCCTGGTGTATGAGATATCATGTAAACTCCAATTGACGAAATTTTAGAAACAGGATTTACACCAATTTCTTTTCACGCGTCGTTTGCCACCACGGCCACGTGAAACGTTCGTATTATTTCGGTCGTGACACAGATTTGCCATGGAATCGCGGAACCACACTTTCGATGAATATGTTACATATTATCTATCGATCGAGTGAATATAAATCCAGCGACGTGATCATCTACGTCATCTTTCCTCTCAGTTTTTTCTCCATCGCGTAATAATCACGTCGAAATGTACAGTTGATTGAAAAAGTATTCTCCTGAAGATTCTATATTTATTTTCGTTTCTAATATTTTTATTTATTTTTTTTTTTTTGAATAATTTTATTCAAAATATATCTAACGTATCCAACGCGAAAGTTTTTGGACCAATTACGCCAATAAGTTTCTTTGCTGTTCCTCGTCTTAATATTTTATGTTTTCTGAATCTTCATCCGACTTAGTTATGCGTTATCTAATAAATTTTTGAAAAATGTCTCGATATTCTGGGGTAAAGTTCCATTGGAAATGGTCCAACAACGGGTCAACTTCTTTCTCCTTGAAATTCTCGGAGAACTATAAAAAGAGAAGAAGTTTGATATTACATTATTATCTAAAAATGTTTCGAAATATAAGAAAAAACTTGTGACTCTTGGAGCCAGCCAGTAACTCTCTTCGTGACCCAAAACGCATTATCTTGTTCTCGATCGACTGCACGCGGCTCACCTATGAGACGTTAAGGCTCGTCCACATGTACATACGCACCTTACGCACCTGCCAGGCCCACATTCCATCCCGTTCTTCGAGATCGGCAGGTAGAAGTCCCGTCTGGTGTCGAAAAGTCGTTAAGAAACCGGTGTCCGTTTCCGGCTCGACTCCAAGATAACAATAGGGAACAGTTGACAGACAGTGGTGAGACTGTGTCTTTTGAAAACCGTCGAAAACAAGCGTGAAAAGCTTGATCACACGACCAAAGTAAATTTGGTGGAAAAGTGTGAGAACTGTGATTCTCCTCGAGATTCTTTCGTATTTCTTCTGCTGCATTCTGTGAATAACTTCTAGGAAGATTGGTACGTTTAGGGAGTGTCTTAATCAGACACGAGCAGGAACGTCGTTAACGCCTGTCTAATTGGGCCGAGAGGTCATAATAAATAAATTGATAGAGTTAATAAACCATATGACCATATCCTAACTTAATTTGTCTTTTTATATCGAATTTTATATTACATTTTAATTTTATTTTTTTTTATATTTTTATATTTTTTTTTATATCTTTTTATAGCGATTATGAAAAATTAATATAATACAAAAATAATAAATACGCTTTGCACCCGTTGCAATTAATAAAAATAAAGTCTACTCTAACTATTATAACTAAAACACGATTCGCAATACCCATATCGAAATACGTAAAAGCACCATAATTCCACCAATAACAACAACCAATCCCGCCACTAATAACTAACTCCTCTTCCGGTCTCCTACTCCCCCCTCTTTTTCTCCCCTCCAATCACCTTTCTTTCAATTCGACGGGCGGCCGAAAAGCGGAAACCGCGACCAGGTCCTTCCCTGGAACAAAGCCGCTTCCTGCGAAGGGAAGAAGCAAAGCGTGAATCGGAAGCGAAGCAGATTTCACGAGATCACGATTTCACGAATCGTGAATAATAATCCCGTGGCCTGTTAATTGGCAAATCGTCGCCGCTGCTCGTCTTATATCCGCCGTAATTGACCGCGAGGACCCGTCCAATTGGCCCGAGGGTCGGCAGTCATCGCTCATCTTCCCCCCTCGCGCAGAAACCGCGAGGCCGCGTCGCGTGCACTCGCGTATACACGCGTACACACATACAGGCGAGTATGTAATTTCAACCAGCTTTGTAATCGCGCGAAGGGACGAGCACGCGTGTGCGACATTGATGCACGTGTATGTGGACAGGGACGTAGCCGACGTCACCGAGTGCCATGGGTGATGCAAGGAGTGGGGAGATTAAAGGGATTGGGTTATTTCATTGTTGATCTTGTTGTGTCCAGAATGAAATTTTGTGTGTGAAACGATGCGTTTCGCGTTTCTTTTCGCGTGTAATTAAGTTTTAATTTTAACCCTTGGGACTGTTATGTCTGAGCTAGATATTATACAACGTAGCTTTTAAAATAATTTAAAATGTTTTCCTTTTTCTTTCAAATAGTTTGTAATAGTTTACACAATATTTTATTGAGACTCTTTGTAGATCCTTTTTATAAATGAATTAAGGAGTTGTAGGTAAAAAAAAAAATTAAGGAGTGCAAAGGGTTAATACGATCTTATCGATTTAAAGTAAATATTTTTGAATCAGAATTGTTTTTTAGAAAATTTGTAATATTGTAGGCCCGTTGGTAAAGGATAATTTAATAACACGTTCTAATTTTAAACGTACGAAGGAATATGAAATTCTGTCTTAATCGTCAATGCAACCGCAATCTCGTTAACGTTATGGCAGCGATAGTGTCTTTAACACCGGAGCTATACGATCCCGTTGTATCGCGTAACGGATTATTGAGTATCTTGAGAAGGGTCTACCTGTGTCGCGAGATCTACAAACCGATCGGTGTCGATGACCAGAGTTTTTTCTTTTTTTTTTTTTTTTCTTTTCTATTTTTACCACGACTTATCATATCTAGCCAAGTTGCATGATTCTTTAGATCGGCGAGAATAACGTGATGATAGCGATCTCGGCGCTGAAAGTTGACACAAAGAATCGATTAGAGTAGTCACGAAAATATGTCCAAGGACGAGACGAAAGATTCGTCTGTGTGTGTTCACTTTCACACGCGAATAGCATACGCAATCGGAATGTTCGAGTAGCATGAGCGATCCCTCTACCTCTTCTAGGATATTTAACATTCCTCGCAACGAGACACGTTCACATGTTGGCACTCCGTTTAAACATCGTTGCTTTCCTGTCTCGAAAGACGCGCTAGAAGTCCCGACAATGATACCAGGATAGATAATAATATTATCACGTGACGGGATAACCTATCTGAATCCACGCTTCTCTACTTTTAACATACAATCGTTAACAAGAATGGTTAACACCATCTCATCAAATTCAAAAGATATCGACGAAACAAATTTTATCCAATCGTATGCGCTAAATTTACAAATTTTCCAAAAAAAATTGAAAATTTCATTGAATTATTCGATGATCTATCAATTGTCCGCTATTAAACAACGAACATCAAGATTGTGAAACAGTTGAAAAAATGCAATAACTGATTATTTCGAAATTTACGAAGATCAAAAATAATAGGGGGGAGGGAGTCTGTTGCGCGTAGACGGCCCTGCGCCGAACGTAGCGGAGTGTTGCATACCATCCGAAGAAGGGCCCCCACCTGTTTCAGACGGGCAGCCTGAACGAGCTGGCTCGAAGGTGGGGGCGAAAGAAACGTCAGTAGGCGCGGCAGTTTTCTGACGCCGCTTACCTAAGCAACACACACGGTGTGCGTGTCATCCAAACCTTGGTTTATCCTCGTGGAAACCCTTCATCAGTTTCCCCCCGTGAATAGTCTCCGGCCGAGTGGAACCCTCACGTCCCTGGCCGATCGATACGGCGTATCCTCCAGTTGCAGGAGAGAGGAGGCCAATCGGTTCTCCAAACAGAAGCGTCCTAGCTGGGAGACAGGCGACCTCTGCCTCGGCGTTTCTTCGCGTTTCGTGTGTAAGTCGTGATTTCTTTTCGATATATTCCCGTAGAGGAATTCTGGTCTCGCTGGTGGCGAGTTTCGGACGAGTTTTGGACGACAGAAATCTGGATTTGGCAGATCGATTTGAGATCGCGTCGTAGGACTGTTACTGTTACACGCTACAGCGACACGTGAGATCGAGAGAAAGCGGGATTTGTTGACCGTTGGCCCCTCTTGGCGTCGTGTGATCAGTGGATCTCGAGATTGGGCGGCTGGATCTCTTCGTAGACGCGATCTGTGATCAAAACGTGAAATTTTCAAAGAATCGAAGGAAAGATAAAGTCTTGTCTTTTAATTGTGTCGAGGATGAATTGTTCTATTTGTGACGTGTTTTTCTTTTTTTTTTTTCGTGGGAACGAAATGAATAATAGTTGAGCGCTTTCTTGGAAATCGTATCGTAATAATCGTAGTATGCTCTACGTTTCATGATGTTGTTTTTGAAAGAAGAAACAAGTGATTTTTTCCCCCCAAAAGTATCGAAGTATAACGGAGCTGAGAAAAATAGTTAGGAAATGGGCAGTCATTCGAATCGTGGTAATAATAAATAATAAATAATAAACAATTTAAATTATTGATACACGTAACAAGGGACTTGCTATTCATCAATCCTGATGTTTGTTTCGTGAGAGGTTTTTTTCAGGGACGTCACGGAAGAACAGAAGAATTCATTATAGGTTGCAACGTTTGTTGAATGCCAGCTGTTCTATCATCATTTCCATGATAAATGCGATATAATTCATGTGTACGATAATGACAATTTTCCAACATATGGATAAATACCTTCGACGTCGAATTTTGATTAATTTATACACCCAATTTTTTCTTCCATTAATTCTCTTCTCTTCAGCTTTCATCGGTCGAAAAATAATTTGCATTAATTTGAAAATAAAAAAAAAAAATAGATTATTCAAACGGAAGATCAAAGTTTGAGTTAATAATTCATAAGATGGTTATTAACAAACGTTAATGGAACGATCGAAATCACACTCCTCCTCGTAAATCATAATCTATTTTCCCTAAAGTCTCAAAGAAAACAGGACTCGTGTTCTTTGATTTTCCATGTTGATTTATGTAGTCGCGTGGGTCGAGAGATCGAAAAGTCGAAGATCTTGCGGACTCTTTTCGATATACAATTTTTTTTTTTCGATTTTATGGGGAAGCGCAATTTTTTCACAACCAGTGTCGTGTCGTGATTCATATCCTCGATGCTGGGACCGAATCGTGGAAAGAAAAGTAGCGTGCATCTGCGATGCACATGTATCGACGCGAATGATTCGGCGATGAATCATCGTGGCCGTGGATAACAAGCCACTTCGACAGTTTCGCCAAGTAATTTCCATTCGCAAATGCTTCGTATCTGTAAGAAAATATTATTCGATTAGTTTCACAACGTTTAATTGGGAAAAAGATTGATAGGAAAACTGTAATTGAAAAATTGTGGGATATTAGTTTCTTACAGTTGAAATGTTTTAGATAACATTTACTTACTTTAATATTTAAGTTAATTAGACTGTCATTAAATATTCGTATTTTTCATTAAAATGTCATTATTGATACTTTGAGATTACTCGTTCACTAACAAAATTGATTAATAGCCTGTGAGTAGATAAGCATTGGTATTAAAAAAGATTATTAATAAGTCTTTTATCCGTAATAATACGTTAAGCCTAATTAATAAACGTTTTATTCGTAGTGTCTTATTATATATGCATTCATATAGTTCTTTATCACTCGTTATGATAATTTCGATTGGCATTGATAAAATTGTATACGTTATGATTTTTACGTGATTTTCTATGTATCGAAAGAAAGAAAAAAAATTATACAGTGATTATTTTCTTTGGCTGGCGTTACACCGTCGCGGTGTTCAGGTATCAAGCATTCTCGAAGGTGGTTCTGAAACACCGACCTACTTTCGTAATTACTCTTTCATTGTTGTATCGTTGCATTGGCTGGTTCAATGCGGAGTACACCAGCCTTACGTAGTCGACACTAATCCAATCAAACCTCGTTGACGCCGGGTCGTCGGTTGCGCAATAATAATAATTTCACTTTTGAACGATTGGCAGAAAATTCTCATAATTTTTTATCGAGTTATGAAACGAAAAACTGAGTGCAAAAATTAGCGCGAGAAAAATTTTAGTTTTAGTGATAAGAGGGAGAAAAAAAGAGAAATATCTTTAGCATCGTGAAAATAATTAAATTTGTGAAACATTTGAGTCAAAAGCAGTCTGAGAACTTTCATTTCTCTCGAGTTAAACGAGAGGGACGAAGAGCAATCAAGGTTCCTCGTACGGTGAATTTAATGCGGAAACCCGTTTCGACTTTCACAACTGGCTAAGCCGTTCACTGTTTGTGGCTTTGGTTGTGTATACACGTAGCCCAGAAAGGAGATCGAGACGAGCAGCTCGATGGACTGACTTATTTCTTCAATGAAAATCGACCCATTCGATAAACATTTGCAAAAACATTAGTAATAAAAATAATATGCAATACAATTATTGCGATCACTGATAAAATTTTTACTTCTAAATTTCCACTTTGTTGGAACCCAACAATTAAAAATACCAAATAATCCGGCAGATAAACTTTCCAAAGTGAGAATCTTATCTTGGAGGATTTTGAGAACTAAGAAAAAGTCTCGTTAGTCGAACGGAAGAGGGCCGGAACGAAAACCAGTTCCCACGAAAGTTTAACTCGACTGTCGTGGCTGTTGCAGGTCCAAGAGCGTCTGGAGGATCCTCCACTCCACGTGGAACCGGTATGCTCCTCCGTTTGTGATATCGTCGACGAGGTGTGTCACGCGCTCCGTTCCTCGAGGGACGAGAACGCGCGGGAGCTCGTGCGATTGCTGAGGAGCTCGCATCTGAAAGCGCTCCTGGAGACCCACGACGCGGTCGTCGAGAGGAAGGAAGCGCCACCGTCGAAGCCGGAACCGTCGTTACTGACGATGCCCACTAACGAGAGGATGGAAGCCGTCAGAGTCGTCGGCCTCAGAAGGCAGCCCGATGAACCCCTGGTGAGAATTCATATTAATTCAGACAACAGAATTTTTTGAATGTAGAAATTTTTTTAATGTAGAAAATATTTTGAAGATGTCACACGCTACAGAATATTCCATTCCAAAGATAAGATATAATATAAGGAAAAATATTTTCAAAATTTTTTCAAACAAATGGATTTGTAAATTTCTTAATTGGATCCCCCAAAAGTTGAGAATATTGGAGGATCAGGTTAATTTTCGCGATTCATCGATTCGTTCCGCCGACGAAGAAAGTGTGGCTGACGAGAGAACACATCTCGAACGATCAACAAAGAAATATACAAGTGTCCGCGCCAACTTTCTCAATCGTGGATTCTAGTTTTAGAAGTTTACTATTCCATCACGTGAGAAAATTTGATATTCCATTCCGAATCGGATTTAACACGAAGAAAAGACGGAAATGCCACTCGCGATTCATAAATAATTCGGAACGTTTATTATCCATGCAATGATTCGAGACCACGTGGCTTTTACGATGATGAATCTAATATATTTTTTCAAACTACAGGCTAAAGTTTCAAACTTTATATCAATAAAACTTTATATACAAATATTTTAACAGGAAGATAATAAATTTTTCGTCCGAAAGAAATTGATTATTCATTTTTTTTGGATATATTAAATTCTTGAATTCGAAATTCTCGTTCAAAAGAATATTATATTTCCTCGTCCGGTATCTTACATTCCAAGTTACTTTTGAAACGCATCTCATAACATTCCCCGCCAAATGTATTTTCGACAAACAAAAGTGCAAGAATCATGATCGTGAATATTCTGTTCCATCAGGTTTGTTTATATTCAAATAGAAACATTAAGTCTTCGTAAACAAGGTAAATTGTGAGAATCTACTAACAAAAATGAATTAGACACAGAATCACCAATTGTTGTCTAAATGTATTAAATGGCAAACCTGGTCATGTTCAACGGAAATGAAGTTTATTTTCACTGGTCCGTTTTTGCACAGGGCCTAACAGTGCAAGTCAACGAATCTGGCAACTTGATCATCGCCAGGATCCTGGGCGGAAGCACGGCCGCCCGCCAAGGACTTCTTAGAACCGGTGAGGTGATTCTCGAAGTAAATGGAAAGGAAGTTCACAACCCTGAGGAGCTTCAGGAAGCCATTCACGAGGCAAAGGAGAATTTGTCGCTGAAGCTGGCGCCTGGTATCGCCACCGATGGCAATCGACCTGTAAAATCCACGGTAAGAGAAGGGTAATTTTTGATATATAAATTAATAAGGAACTTTTATTACTTCTTGAATAATTATTGAATAAATTTGAATTTAAAATAGCCAATGTATTTGAAAATGTTTGTGTATAACAATATTCAAAAATATGTTTAATCCTCTTGAAGCCTTTACATTCATTTTAATGACATCCATATGGAACATATGGTTTCAATGAACAGTTTATCAACATTAACTGGTTTTAAACTATAGATTTTACTGTTTTGCTTATAAAATTTAGACAATAGATATAGTCAACCTTCTATTAAAATTATATTCTAAATATAAAAATAATTGTTGAAAACTAAAGTATAATAGCATGTGTGTCATGATCGTTTTTTATAATAAAAACTTGTAAATAGAATTAATATTGATGATATTTATCAAATAAAATATACAAGCGAAAAAAATTAAAAAATTAAAATTATAAAAATTTCACTTTAAAAATAAAAATCATGAAACAATTTAAATTTACAAAAACTTACACTTTAAAAATAAGAATGCAATATGAATAAAAAAATTTTTCAAAAATTATAAAAAATTAAAATTAATGAAACGTAAAAGAAACAAACATAGCAAAATTAGTAAAATAAAATTCATTCATATGAAAAATACCTATTTTCCATTACAGTGTTACATGAGAGCGCTCTTCGACTACGATCCATCAGAAGATACTCTTTTACCATGTAGAGAGATTGGACTTCCGTTCCAAAAAGGCGATGTACTACAAATCGTGGATCAGGCGGATCCAAACTGGTGGCAAGCTCGAAGAGTCGAAGGTGAAGGTTTAGGTCCACCTGGGCTAATCCCATCTTTGGAACTGGAAGAACGAAGGAAAGCGTTTGTTCCACCGGAAGCTGACTTTGTACACAAAATTAGCATTTGTGGGACCAAGATTTCTAAAAAGAAGAAAAGAAAGATGTATCAATCGAAGTCTAACGGTGAATTTGATAGTGCAGAACTTTTGTTATATGAAGAAGTAGCCAGGATGCCACCTTTTAGACGTAAAACCTTGGCTTTAGTCGGTGCGAGAGGTGTTGGTCGTAGGACATTGAAGAATAGGCTGATAAATAGTGATCCTGAGAAGTTTGGTACCATTGTTCCGTGTAAATATCATAATTATTTATATGATGGTAAAATCTTGTCTAAAATGATACACAAAATTGACGAATTTATTATTATACTATATAATAATTTATTCAATTGTAATCAAATTAGCTAATAAAATAATATAAAAAGCTTCGCTCTTAAGTATTAGAACTGTAATATTTACTCACTGATATCATTTTAGATACATCACGACCATCCAGAGTACTCGAAGAGGATGGCAAAAGCTATTGGTTTATCGATCGCGAATCGATGGAAACAGACATCAGAGAGCATCGGTATCTCGAGTACGGAGAACATGGTGGCCATTTGTATGGTACAAAATTGGATTCTGTGCGAGAATTAATTAGAGCAGGGAAAATGTGTGTTTTGGATTGTAGTCCAGCAGCTTTGAAGATACTTCATAACAGCACGGAATTCATGCCTTATGTCATCTTCATAGCAGCGCCAGGAATGGAACAATTGAAATGGCTGTACGATTTACAAAGATCGACTGGAACGAGTAGTCGAAATTTGACGGTAATTATATAACAGATTCTATTTTTTTTTCCTTTCTTTTTTTCTAATATAAAAATTATAAATTTGTTTCGGATATGATCAATATTAAAAAATCAAAAAAATCTATGTTTATGAAATATTATTTACAAATGCTACTTAATTATTCATCTTATTGTAGATTTGAAAAATGAAAAAACATTTATATAAATTTATATAATTCTTTAAAACATTTTCCAATTTTTATATGAAAAATAAAAAGGAGAAGTTTGCAAAAGAATAATTTGATAGATGAAATTTGTATAAAAAAGAAACATATCGACGGCACAAATCGTTTCAAATAAACATAATTATCAAATATTTTACGATACAATTTTTCAAATTTCTGCCTGCCAGTCTGTTTGCCGTCGTCGTGTAAATACGTGTAATTTGCCTATTGTACATGTATCGCATGCACTTTCGTTCGATTGAAACAATTTATTTCTCCTATAAAATTCATTTTGCATAAAACTCATTTTTAAATATTATGTTTCCTATTCCATTTAGATTTATATTGAATATTTTTACATATTTCCCATCGTACAATTCCCATTTTTCTCAAATCTATGTAGCGTTCTTTATTTAATCTTTTGTATGTATTTGATGTTGGCTTTGCTAGTTTGACCGCCAGAGTTCCATCAGATACAGTTCGAGAAGAGCCAGAACACTGGAATCCCTTGCTTCGTTGTACGAGGTTTGTACTGCATGCAAATTCATTTTTTTCTTCATTTTTTTAATGTAGTGTAATTGCTTGTAGATATGTAGTAACTGCTAAAAATTTACCACTGTACAAAATCATATAATATTCAATATAATGTTCAAAGAGAAATCATAATCAATAGACACACATTGATTATACGTACCTCAAACTTTTCAAAATGCAATTAAATTAAATTTATTTCTTATTGATTCAGGAAGACGATTTGAAGGCTACTTTGGAAGAATCTGCGGCTTTGCAGCGTGCTTACGAAAAATATATTGATCTGGTGATTGTGAACGAAGATTTCGACAATACATTTAGACAAGTGATCGCCGCGTTAGATGCTTTAGCAACTGAACATCAATGGGTTCCGGTGAATTGGATATATTAAATATCATTTAGACTAAGAAAACAAATAGTTTCAAAAAATTTGACTAAAACTCGATATTTCGAGTGAATAAATTAATTATTATATTGCGAAATACGTGATAATACCGACCTTTAATACCTTATCAAGTTCGATGTCGAGTGCATTGTTATTACGATTATATTTATAGCATTGTGCAATGGGACAATTTTATGATCGTACTATGTGTATAAAGAATTTTAATGTGTTGTGTATATTGTCTAGATCGAATGTATAGATATTTTTAAACGAATGACGCACTCGACTCGAATAAAGAAAAATATGGTATCCAAGGTTTTTCAAACGAGCAAAGAATTCTTTTATTGAAATGAAAACAAAAAGCTTCAAATACGCCCACTGTGCTACTACGAATAGTGAAATCGGACTATGAAAGTCAATGAGAGATAATATCGATGACGCCGTTTCTAACAAGTACAATCGTAGAGCATTTACGTTATTTCGTTTTAAATTTAACGACCCTTTTATCTTTTAAATTTTGTAAAAGATTTTTATATATAAATAAGATATTCTAGAAATAGATATTGTTAAAAGAGACAAGAAAATAATAGAAAAATTACAGAAAATTGATGTAAATTTTGTTAACATTATTGTTAATTTACTATATAGTAGTTTTAAAAATTTTCGCATACATTCCCCTTCATCATTCAGAATGATTAATTAAAAATGAATCACTATTAAAATATACATTAGACCGCCGTCCAATTATTTTTAGGATATATCTAGTTTTAATTTCTCTTAAATCACGAATCTGTATATGTACGTACATTTATTTACCATTTGTCATACATGATGTACTTTCATTTCTTTTATAGAGATATCTATATATAAAACATATTATATATTATATATTTCATGAATCCTGTTTGTACCGTTCGTGCACCTTAAACATATTCCTGGCATAGAGTGCCTTAATAGCGCAACTTTTTAATTGGCTTGCGGCGAAGACCTACTATGTCGAGATATTCTCTTATACTCGAGAGTTTTACATAAGACATTTAATAATACGTTTTTTCTAATATTCTAACCCATATGCACACGAAAACACAACCATTGCAAATTGCTGTACATTATTTAGTTGGATAATTCCGATCATGTCACGTGATACATGGAAAAATAAAATTTATCGAGCGTTTGTTACGAATTTGAATTATTATTACCTTCACTATCATCATTTCCATTATCCTTATTTATCTGGAATTATAGATTATAATATTTTGATCTTATATTTGTTGCTTCAGTTTCTACTCTACGAATTGCAAAATAAAAATTTTAATTTTATGCATACGAAATAAACATAGTACTTGAAGAGGTTATTTTATATTTAATTACTTTCATATTTCTACAATTTTTACTTACATTTGTTAAAACAATTTGGAATATCAGTTAAAAAAATGCATTTATAATGCATTTATTACTTCAGTTCTCAGAAATGAACTTGAACTTGAATAATCATTTATTCAAAATTATAGAATTTTTGAGTAATAATCTGCAAAAAAAGGATTACTTTTTAGTAAAATAATCTATATAATTTCAAATAAACGTACAAATGACTTGAAAAGATGATTGGTTAATGGATGCATTGATGCATTAGGAATAGCCAATCACATTTTATTATCTGCCACGTTTCCTGACTGTTGCGTTGTCATAATTGTATTGCGGGAAAAGTTAGCCGAGTGTAGTTCGAGCACGGTGTTAGCCGTGTTGACAAATTTATTATACTAACTGAACATGCAAATACTACGACAATTAGATGTGCACCCAAAAGTGCGCGAAGAAGCGGATATTCTTGTGCGAACTTTCAGTGGTGCCGTTGGTAAAGCGTTTTTTACTTGTCAAATCTTAGACAAGTATCGCTTGTCAATTTTATTAGCTTGCAATAAATTATTTAATGAATTATGTTGATTTTCTTTGATTGTCAGAGTTACTAGAAAATTTTTGAATCGTTGCATGTAATTTTAAATATAATATGATAAAGAGATGCTGTTAACCTCAACTGGGAACAATATTTAACAAATGTAGAATTACTTTCTTATTTCTTAAATTAAATACTGTTTATCTTATCATATATAAAATATAATTGATTAAAATTATGTTTTAAGTTTTCAATATTGTATTTGGTAAAAGTTTTTATTACATCATAATTATTGTTTATATTTGTTATCCAGCATAAATAAAGTTTATAACCTACATTTATTTTTTGTGTACAATTGTTTTCCAGTGACAATCATTAGTACAATTATTATGGGTATTTTGTTTCTATCTGAAGTGAATTATTATCTCACTCCAACATTGAGTGAAGAATTATTTGTAGATACTTCAAGAGGTTCAAAATTAAGAATTAACTTAGATATAATTGTACCTACGATATCTTGTGATCGTAAGTGTATATATATCTTATATACACAAATATGTAATAATATTAATAAATATATTAAATATATTACAGTTTTATCTATAGATGCAATGGACACAACAGGTGAACAACATTTACAAATAGAACATAATATATTTAAAAGGCGTTTAGATTTAAATGGAAAACCTATAGAAGATCCACAAAGAACAGGTGATAATAGAATGACAATAATATAAAAGATAAATATTTATAATAAATAATATAAAACTAATTAATTTTTTATTTATTTTAATATAGATATTACTGACACAAAAGCACTTAAAACAACAGCAAAGGTATTGAATTATTTATCATTATTACATATCTGTTATAATATAATAATAAATATAATTTTGTTAATTGTTATAATATAATTTTGTTAATGCTATTAAAATTTAATAATTTTTTTTATAGACATTAGAAAGTACTACAGAGAAAATATGTGGAGATTGCTATGGTGCTGCTAGTGAAATTATCAAGTATAATAACGCACAAAAATTTATATATAATTTATGAAAAGTTTTTATATAATTAAATTATTTTTGTAGGTGTTGTAACACTTGTGAAGATGTAAGAGAAGCTTATAGACTTAAGAATTGGGCACCTCCTGTTCTAGGAAATATAAAACAATGTCAAAATGATAAATCGGTGGAAAAAATGAAAACTGCTTTTACTCAAGGATGTCAAATTTATGGTTATATGGAAGTAAATAGAGTAGGTGGAAGTTTTCATATTGCACCAGGAGATAGCTTCTCTGTAAATCATGTACATGGTAAAAAAATATATTACTATTGCCAACATAAATTAAATTATGTAATATTATGATATTTATCATTTTGCTTACAGTACATGATGTCCAACCATACACATCAACACAATTTAATATGACTCACAAGATTCGTCACTTAAGTTTTGGACTAAATATTCCAGGAAAAACAAATCCTATGGATGATACCACTGTAGTTGCAATGGAAGGTATGCCCTTGCTTCGTAGAAATATTTTATTGAGAAATTAATAGAATATTCTGACTACAATTTTTTGTATCCTAAATGTCAAACGTAACACTCTTCAAGTACTAGCATCTTATTCCACTTCCAATGGCCATGAATGTTCCAAATGTTCCACCACCTTGAAGCATTGCTTTTCCAACGTTGTTTATCAATTCCCTTCCTCTTAATCCATATCTGATAATAAATATATCATTAGCTATACTTTCCAAATTATTATTAATTTAATCACAATAAATGAATATCCACCTAACAATAGAATATCCCCCAAATAGAACACCAGATGCCATTCCAACACAAAATCCAATCATAAAACCAAGTTTTACCCTATCCCAGCATGAAGGAGCTTGTTGATACATGCCTGGTACGGCCGGCATTTTCTACGAATATAATTTATATAAAAACATTTAACCTTATTTCTTATAAAAATGCCTCACAAATATGAATTATGATTCTCTTTTAATGAATTTTATATATAATTAACTTTTATTCAACACAAAATTTCTAAATTATCTTTAACATATAATAAATTAATTGTCCCTAACATAATTTGAATAAATTTTATTTATTTTGCACTTAGAGAAATTTATAGATGCTCGATATAATTAACATCACTCACAATTTAAATATTTGGTTTTAGAACTTATAATGAATATGTAATGCGTCTTTTTTTTAATGATTTTTCGTGTTTTACAACTTGTAAATCCTTAACACAATTCGTTCGGATAGTATAAGGAAGGTGCCATGTTAGTTTCTTGATATAAAATGGCTACTTTTCCTATTTCCGTTTTATATAATTTCAATAGTGGATTATTTAATTAATATAAATATTTCGATCAAATAGTTTTTTATAAAATGTTCTTTTACTTTGAATTTTAAACTATGAAATTATTAGATTTTAAAAATATATTTGTCATTATAATTAAAATTCTATATAGATATTTCATTGTTTTTGTTTCAGGTGCGATGATGTTTTATCATTATATCAAGATTGTACCTACAACCTATGTTCGCGCTGATGGCTCTACATTATTAACAAATCAATTTTCTGTAACTCGACACGCTAGACAAGTTTCTTTATTTAGTGGAGAATCAGGAATGCCAGGAATATTTTTTAATTATGAATTAAGTCCATTAATGGTAAAATATACAGAAAAAGCAAAATCATTCGGTCATTTTGCAACGAATGCTTGTGCGATTATCGGTGGTGTATTTACAGTTGCTGGATTAATAGATTCATTATTATATCATTCACTTAGAGCAATACAAAAAAAAATAGAATTAGGAAAATATAACTAAAATTCAAATCAATTTATAGATTTGAAAAATATTATAGAATATTTGAAGATATTTTGTATGATGAATAATAATTTAAATTATATAAAATAGTAAGATCAAATAATTTGATCTTTTATCGAATGTATTATTAAAAAATGAAAAGGAAAAACTACTGATATAATGATATTATAAGTTTTACAAAAGTTTTTTATATTGTCTTAAATAATATTGGTACAACAAATTAAATACTGATGTGTAAGATATACGGAATTGTACATAAAGGTTTCTAGAAATGTATAAGAATATCTAATATTTAAGTACAATATATACAATAAAGATTACATTGCTATAAAAAAATATATATATATATATAAATGTTTATGATTAAATAATTATATTTATTTTAATTATATTAAAAAGATTTTAAAAAATCATTGTAAATTTTAATGGAAACTTTTGCAATTTTTTCACAAAAATCAATATCAGTACCTGAAATTAAATCAAATAATGATACATACAATGGTTTTGTAGGATCATATTGATTTCTTTTTAATTCTACTAAAAATTTATGCCTTCTTTCAAGTCTACTTTTCCTACAAGTTAAAATTTTTGGTTCTGTACAAATAAAAGTATGTGATAATTCCATTTCATTATGCAGATAATCAAAAGTTTTTATTATTTCTGTCTTGGCTGAAATAAAAGCAAAAAATTTTTTATATTTAAACAATTTAACAAATATTATATCAATATTTAATAATTTAATATTTTAATTACCACGAATCCATACACGTGGTGCTTTAAGCAAAATATGCCTTGTTTCAAATATATTAAAACCCATTTCCTCTTTTACTGCAAATGTACTATTTTTTATACGCTTCATATCATATGTTATAAGTTTTGGACATTTTACACTTAAGATTCTTATTTGATGACCATTTAATTTAAAAATATGTTGAAAATATCCTAATCTTTTGTCTATTTCTTGTGTTTTAAAAGATAGCCAAGGAGGATGTTTATTCACTATGCTTTCTATCATTTTTACAGAAAAATTATGATATCTTAAATATCTTATTCTTGTACAAAGATCATCTATATCTTCTTTAAAGATCTTAGGATTTCTAGTAATAAAGTATCCAAGATTTTCTGGAGTTACACCACAATCGTATAAAAATTGTATATATGGTTTTATATTCTTGTCAAAATCTAAACTCAAAAACATTTCTATCACTTCTTTGTCTCTTTCTATTTTATATAATTCAACTCCTAATTTGACTAATTGCTGAATTGTATTTGATTGATCTGCGAATTTTGCAAAATTATAAGTTGGTGTTATATAAGGTTCAATGTGAGACAAATCTTCATCGCAATGATCAAATGGTCCTGGTAATTTTTCATTTATATCTTCCAAACTATCATTTAAATTATAATCATTTATATTTAAAAATTTAATATTATGTGATTGTTCTAATTCATTATTTATTTTTGTATTATTATTTTCAATATTTTTATTATTTTCTATAGTAGTAACTATAGCATTTATCTTCTCAGAATCCATATTATTAAAATTATCGTTATGTTTTTTAATATCAATATTTGATATTTTATTCTTAACTATATCTACCGTAGAACAATTAAATAATTTGGAAGTTTTAGAAACATTTCGAAAAATGAAATTCGAAATTTTACTGACATTACAGTGCTTTGAATGTAAAAATATACACATTCGTGAAATCATATTCTATAATGAAAATTATATTATAATACACAAATACACAATTTTTTAAAAACTAATAAATATTAAAATTAATTTCTTTGTAACATTTATACCGTTTTTATACATAGGTACAGATACAGTATAGAAGTACAAAATAGGTTATTCTTTCAATCATTATTATATCAAACAAGGTTAGATTTCTTCCATAATGATTTTTTTTATTTTGATGTCATAAATCGCGATGTAATTAGTTTAATAAATACAATATACGATTGCAATATTATAGAAATATTACAAAATTTCTCTTCGTTACAAAATTTAAATTATGTACAAAAAATAAAATATTACAATATTAATTAATATTCCAGATTTATTTTTGATTAATTAATTTTTATTTAAAATTCTTGTATTATATTCTAATATACTTTAATTTGATTAATTTTTATATTAAATTAATTTTGGTAATTTTAATTTATTGTTTTATATTTTTAGAGCTTTAATATAAGAAATACAATTATGCAGTTATTAATTCAATTTTTCGCGCGAATTTGAATGAATAAAAAACTACATTGTTTGAACCAATTAGAAAATCATTTATTGTGAATAGTTTAAAACTGAACCGTTTCAACCAATCAGAGAACAAGTAAATGAAGTTTTGGCGGGAGGCATCATTTTTCTGTAAGAAATCGTTGTGACAAGATGTGTTTGCAATTCTATCGGTTTGTTTTAGTTTATATATATTATAATTTTGTTCTAAAATATTAATATTTCTATTTGTCATTAAATTTATAGATTAATGTCAGTTTTCTTTTCTTAATAACTTATTGAATATTGTAATTACGAAATTAATTAATCGAATTTCTTTATACTTTTTTTTTTAATTATCTTAGATTATTAGATTCTAATAGTAGTTTATATATTTCATCTTTTTAGATAGAATTTTAAATTCAGTTATTTTAGTTCTGTTAATAACAAATTCTATTTATTTAATTTTCTTTTCAAATTATTCGTTTACTGTAAAGATAAGATATGACAAAAAACATATGTAACATATATAAAACATGGATAACGATTTAATTTTTCGAATCAATTTTACGGAAATTTGATAATGTAAAATTTATTTTAAGATTTATACAAATATTTATACGCAGATTTCTAAATTTCATTGCTAGAAAAAATTAAATAAAATTAATACTCTTCTTTAAATATATAATTATATATAAAATATATAATTATTTTCATATTCGTTTCTTATTCATTTTATATAAATCGTAAAAATTTATAAAATGTAGCATTTATATATACTATTATATTATGTTATATATACATGACATAATCATTTTATTATATTTAATTTTTTTATTTTTATTAATAAAAAAACTAACTAAAGATTAATTGGAAAAAATTTTTAAAAAATAGCAGTATTTTTCTGAACAAACATTTTAAAAAATATTTTACTTCTTTTTTTTTTTACAAATTGCCATTGCCTATCCTCAATAACATAATTTTATTTACAGAGAATTATTTTAATCACGTGCATGTGATTAATAAAATCGATGTTTGCAATGTAAAAGTATTTTTAATATTTTTTAGAACTCTTATTAATTAGATTTTTTTTCCCATTTAGATTTTATTATTAATATTTTACAGTTTCATAGTGTAAAATATTACGTTTCAATGAAGATATAAAATGTTAGTATACATATGAAAAAACGTATGTACATCTCACATAAAGTTATATACAATTAGATTAAGATGTAATTTAATTTTTCAGATTTAGATTATTATATCGTTTTTCTTTACAATTTCTTTTGTTATTTGTTTTGCACAATGATCAAAATTTTGAAGATTTTGCAAACGTATAACAAAAGAAGAATTTATTTGAAAATAAATTTTTGCAATTAAAATTAAAATTATTATTTGCTATGTAATTCATAATCGCATCTATAATACAATTATAAATTTTATAATGCAGAGAGGCGGAGAAGAGAGAGAGAAAGAGATAAAGATTTAAATTTATAAATAATTTTATTAATAATTATTTAATTATTATTACTATAAAAATTTTTTTTATTATAATATTAAAAATAAAACAAAAAAATATATGATACGAAGAAATATTTTATTACTCAAAATTATTCACACATTAAATATTACATCAGAAAGAAGTTGTTTATTTATATAAATATACAACACAAAGAATGACTGCATATAATATATTTGTAATATTTTTTAAGATCTCGATTCTGAAAAAAATTATATTCATTCACACAGACATACATACTTATACAATTAGAGCCATTATCATCTAATTATGCCGTTTTTTAGTTTTTCGTAACAAGCAATATGTGTTACAGTAGTAAGTACATCGGTGATGTTTTAAGAACATTAATTAATAATCAATATTTCAACACTAAAATAAAAATAGAGAAATATCGGAATGTACCTTAATATAAGATAACAATATTCTCTCGAGAATCAGTAATACTTCGTGATTATTAAATTGCGTGCCGATTCGCAATTTAATACAATATTGATATTAAATAAATAACTTATTTTCGAGATTTTGAATTTACATTCTAATTATCGATATATGTATATACGGCATAAAGTTGGAAGTATAGTTAACTGACAGTGAAATTAATCAACTTGAAGTACAGTGATAACAAGTGTCGGCAGTAACGTTTTAAAAAAATACTATGTTGAAAATATTCGTCGAATTTTACAATGCCGTTATATACGACTCTACTTATAGAGTATTTTCCATTTCTCATTGTTGTTGGACTAGAAATATTACTCCTGTTTTTCTCTTGCAGCAGTGCCATTTGTATTTATTGATTCATTTCCTATTTCCTGATTTCTTGCTTGTTGTCTTAATTGCGCTCTTTTCAAACTGGTCATTAATTGACTAGACTGATAAAGCCAACTGGCCTAAAAAGTCAAATAAATTATAAATAATTCTAAAACTACAACTTATCTTATTATTAATCTTATTGAAATTTTATATCTACTTACAATCATGATCATACAATTCATCAAGATAGGCACAGAGAATACTACAGATATAAAGAGACCATTGGAATCAAAATATTGCTGTCTTGAGAACAACCTATTGTAATTTTATAAATTCATTATTTAAATTTTACTTACTTGAACTGAATATATTTATATTATATTTATCAAAATATATTTATATTTATTATAATTTTAAGATACTTACATCCAATTAGATGCAGCAACTTCATTAATACTTTCAGAAAAATATACCAGAAGCACTGCAACAAACATATTATTAAAATAATCATAAATAATAAATGAATTATTCTATATTGATTACATTTAATATAGAATATAATATAATAATCAATATGATATTATACTTACATAGTGCAAGAAATAACATAATTTGAAAATTGGCATGGTTTCGTGTCATCAATGCAGTCAAAGTAACAGCAATGTGAAAAGTTAATAATAATGCAAGCCATGGATCTCTCCATTCAATCTGCAATGATTTGCAATTTATTTGCAAATGAATAATAATGAAGCTATGTTCTCTCTAAATTGATATTACATAATAAAATGAGAATAGTATATATTCAAAGACACAAATGCTATTAAAAAAGCAAAACATAAATTTGCAGTATTTCATATATATTAATTTTTAAAATTATATATCTATATAATTTATATATTATATTGCATAATATAATCTTGTAAAATCATAAATCATTTGTACTTGATATATTGCGAAAACGTATCAATATCACGGTTGTCTGAAACCACGCATAATAATATTAAGTATTCAGAAATAAAATACAAAAATAATGAAATTATATTTAAAATAAACAATATTATGCTACATATAAAAAGTAAATCTTAAATGAATTAAATATCATTCGATTTATTTCTGATATTTTTTTTTAGATATTATATGCAATCGAATAATGAAATAAATACGTACAATGACGAAACAATAATGAGTTAACATATACGTCAATGCTTTGATATTTTTTACCGGTTATATTGAAAACGAAAGTTGAAAACGAAAAAATAGAACGAAACATTTCGAACAACTCAGGTATGTTTAAAGGAAATATCCAGAAATACCAGTCATGGACAAAAATCGAAATTTGCGTAGTAAAATTAAAAGTGATTGTTGCACTTACACTTTGCAAAAACGGTAAAATACCATCGATTGGAGATGGTGGATTTACTTGATCTTCCGACATTGTGTTCTTGATAAAATTCGGGCCACGGCGCCCTATTGTAACCTTTTAATCGACTTGGACGCCAACAGAAGAAACGACCAATGCCAAATGCAGATACATGCCGCTAACACGGCAACACACTGGAAAAACAAATATCACAGAGGAGGAAGGATTTTATTTCTTTTTCTTTGTTGTTGCTATCTTCTTTCTTCTGACGCATGCAAGCGACTTAATGAAGTTTAACAAAATCATATACATTGAAAATATTACATATATATAAAATTCACCATGTATATGTAATATATATATATATATATAAATATATGCACTGCCATCTGTGGTTATGCAATAGAATTAGAAGTAGTAGTTATAGTCGATAAAATATCGATAAGACGCACTCTTTTAAAAATGTGTATGATAAAAAAAATTAGCTTGAAAATAAACATAACTGATTCAAAGCATTAAATTTTTGTATGTATATATAACAATTTTCCATTATTCTATCAATGAATATAAATTATAATTGATAAAATGTTTTATCATATAATTTTAAAATTCCAAATTTTAAATTATAACAATGATTTTCTTTTATATATCGATCTGATCAAAAGATAAAATTAATTAATAAAAACATGAAATTTTAATTTAAAGCAGACAACTGATTTGATTATATTACGAAATTTATTATACGAAAAGAAAAATTGTTTCACATATTGAAATCATATATTTAATTACATTGCTGCGCATTGCAGATATAGATGCAGCAAATTCAATATGACAGTCTAATTATTGGATCTTAATTTTATAATCATTTACATATTGCATTTCAATATTATAATTTAATGAATTAATAATATTATTTAATTAATGATAAAATATTTAATTCAATAATGATATTACATGAACATGTTGCTTGGAATAATTAAAAAAATTAAATTTAAATAGGAAATATTAGAAAGAAAGTGACATGTTTTAAAATTATTTCGAAGATGAATTTCTATTTTTCATAATTGAAATTTATTTTGAACATATTTTATATTTATTTGTTTTAAATTTGTTGAACATACATATATCACATGTATTTATAAATGTTTTGTAAAAAAACGGATAATATCTATTCATTGTTAAATTAAACATGATAACAAGAAATCTAGATTAAAGATCTTTTTATTATTTAAGTATTGTAAAATACTCAGATAAAGATTTTTTTTATTATTCAAACATTAAAATTAAACGATATCAATTTATTCTCTTAGTTTAGAAATATCGTATTTCTAAACTGGCACGAAAAAAAAAAGATTTAAGAATGTAAAGTTATAAATTCTCTATAAATAATTATTAATGACGAGTTACAAATATTACGATTGTTAAGATTATAATGATTATCTAAATGCGATAATTATCCATCTAAAAGAATAATGTTAAGATAATATTATCATAACATAAGTATATCGTAAATAAGCTTTAAAATATAAATATTATTTTCAGAAGTTTTTGTTAATTTTGGTTAATTTTTAATTGTGATTTTTTTCATATAATTTAATTTTCTTTGTTATTATTTTCTGTGAGTAGTACAATGACATAGTTATCGTAATGTATTTAAAAAAAATGACTTCTAATCTGAATGAATAATTATAATATATTGAACTTTAATTATATATCTCATCCATAGCATATTGTTAGTCAGAGATTTATGATTCACGAAAGAAGACTATAGTCGAGAAAGCGAGTTTGTTTAAGTAAATATTCTATCGACGAGTAATTTATTGACAAATAATATATTATATAATATATATTGAAATCGATTGATAATTAATTTTTTAATTAATTTAAATAGCTACTTATGACACATCTTTACACATCTTGTACTTTACTCATATAAATGTGAAAGAAATTGATTATAGATGTTTATTAAAAATATACAAGATCTTTTAATTTAATTTGAAGATAGGATTAATAATTTAAAAATATCATTAGATATTATTTATTAATGATATTGAATTTTTCAAAAAATTATAAATTTATGTTGCATATTAAATAGATACAATTATTTTTTTTTTGTTTATATTTAACATTATAATTAAAAACAAAGTCATCAAATATAATTGATATGATATATATAATCCATGAAATGTAATTAAATAAATTTAATCTAATTGTAATCTAATTATTATTCGATGTATAAATTTTCTTATTAATGAGAATTCAATATAAATTTTCTTGATTGATTATTTGAATATTGAGTGATTATTATATTTTATAAAATTAAATTTATAAATAATAATCATTTTTTATGATTATTTCTTTTAAGATTTTTCCTTATCTTTAAAATATTAATGTATCGATGTGGCATAATGACGAAATCGAGAGTAATTAAAAATTAAAAATCAATTGCTCGAGAATACACATGAAAAAAGTGCAGAAACTTGCAGATTCAGAAAAAGCTACGTACATAATATTTTACGCAATCACATGTACAAAAAACACATTTTGCACTCATCGTATAACTAACAAACAAGATTACAATATTATACATACATTTTCATTTATAAAATATAGATTTATATTAACACTATTGTGCATCTATCGATACAATTAATTTTCATCTTCAAAAATAAAAAATTTTTCAAGATTATATTTCTAAATTTTCCATATATTCAACAATTTATATTTAAGAGGAAAAAGTTGACAAGTTGATACTTACTCTTTCTTATTTTCCACAGTGCAATGAATTTTTGAAAAATTAAATAAAAATCTCTTCTCATCATCAATTTCAATATCTTAATTACTTGAGATTTGTATTCTCGATCCAGGTTAGAATGACGCGATCAATTTAGAAAATGAAAAAAAAAAAAAAAAAAACTCTCGTCTCATTTTCAATCGATATTTTCTATATATCTTCTATTTCATATTTCAATATTTTATTCAATTTATAAACTCGTTTGGGATCACCGTTGCCTTTTACCTTTACCCCCCTTTATCAAGACGAGATCAATTCGACAAGATGACGGAGAGATCCTCCCCCTTTCGATTACGCCTTATCAAATTGATGACTCGTCGATGCATCTATTTACGTGTTTCTGGCTGACGACTTTATCAAGCGGCGCATATAACTGCATGCCTTGTCTTCCACCAGTATAAGCAGCATGAAATTGACCGGTAGAACAGTCATGAAATCGAGCCGTAGCTACGTGACGATTGGACTTTGAGCGGTCAAAGATTGGATCGAGATGGTGGACAAGAGAAGACCTCCTTCTTCTCGTGCGAGATATATTAGGTCACAGATATATTGTGGTCGTCCTGCTATGAGGATCGTTTCGTGATCGTAACGTGTCCAATCATCGATCGAAATAGGAAAAGGAGGTGAGGAGGAAAGATGTCGGAAAATATGCCGTTTGATTTGGATTTGAAACTCCCGGGACCGGAAGCCTTGGCTGTCGCCAAGAAGGAGCTCAGAGAGACGGAGGAGAACGTGAAAGAGGGCCTCGCCAAGTTGAGGATTTATCTCGAGGGTGAGTTTTCGGGATTCGTTTTCTTTTCTTTTTCTTTTTTCTTTTCATTTTTTTTTTTTTTTTTTTTTTTTTTTTGGTAATTTTTTGATTTAATTCAATTCAATTCTTTGCTAATTCAATTTGCAATTTCTTTTTCTCGGAGAAAATAAATTTTAAGTAGCGTCGTTGGAAAGAATTAAGAAGATGGATTTTCATGTTTTTAGTGTTTATTGACATGCTTGTTCTTGTTGTAATCTTTTTCGAGTGTTTATAAACTTTCATCGATCGAATCTTCGAACGTTTAAAACGTAAAAATAAAATTTTAATTTTACTCGAAATATAGGGAAATTTGTTGAAGAGTATCTAAAATATCTAAAGTAAATAAAATATCTAAGTATATCGTAATTTCTTTTTAAAATCGTATATAATTCGTATCAATAATACGAAATTAAAAAATATCAACGACGATATATCGATAATAAGTCATTTCATAATCTAAATGATAATCTGCGATTTTCATTTGCCTTGTAAAGGAGCGAAATGTTTTTGACGTCAATGTTTTTTTTTACTTAAATGGAAATGTTTAATATACATTTGATATTAATAAAATTTTAATACAAGTTTTTTAGAGTAGTTTCGTAGTCTTGTACTTTTGAATACAAACAAATCAAACATTTTGTATTATCTTTCTTCTTCCTCTCGTGCATTGATGATAAATTATCTTATTTTTAAAGCGTACACTGAATGATACATTACATATACATATATAATAACAAACAAGAGAATTCAATCAAATATAAAAATGTTTCATATATTTCATATATATTGTTATTGTATCGTTAAATTTATCCTTCTTTTAGAATTTTTTTTTTTTTCTTTCTATTTTGAAACATATCTAAATAATATTTGTTAACAATTTAAACAATTTTTCGAAATTATATAACTATGATATATAATATTTATTTATATACACGTATTTACACACATTTACATACATCATAAATATTTTCTCACAATTATAACGATTGATTACAATACAAAGGATGATATTGTTTCAAATTTCATTTAAATTGTAGAAAGAAAATGAATAAACGATGTAAATGAATCAAAATTCTTTTATTTTTTTTCAGAAAAACATCGATATTTATGCGAAAAAGAAAAAAAAAGAAAAAAAAAATATTGAAAAATAATATTTGTTAATTTCAAGAAAACTTTTTCATTCAGAATTTCGTATTAGAATTCTTTAGAAGTAAACGATTCTAAAAGGTCTTCGAAACTATAGAAATTTATATCATGTGCATAAGAACGTCAACTTTGGGGTCACGTTCGTTTCTTAGATAAGAATTTATCGCTATGGACACAGTAAGACGTTAAATATTTTGTTTAAACGATAATTTTCTGTACATCGAATAACATAAATAAAACCTAGTAGTAGCAGTGCTACTTGAACGAAAATGAATCAAAAATCGCGGATAAGATCGATTTTAAATCCGTGGTGATAACGTCACGAACCTTGGCCATCGAACGCTGACAAAGGATTAAAGAATCGGCAATAATCAACAATAAGATAAATTTCCGATTGCATTGGCGTAGGATCGTGATTGAGATGATCCCGTTATCATATGTAATGTCACAATTATAAATCACAAAAATTTTCTCTCTCGTTACAATTTACAAATCCTTTTTTGTGAAATGGCAATTTTAACCGAATCTTTTTTTTTTTTTTTTTTTAACATATAATTAATTTGCGATATCAATGTCACGTATAAATAAATAGCGAGTTAAAAATAAAATATGAAAATATAGATTCGTAATTATTAATCGTAAAAAAATTTTCTCTAGATATCTCTCGAAAGATATGAAATTGGAAGATATGACGAAGATATATGCTCGACTATTTAAAATTTTATTTGAAAATCGTAGTGGAGAATAAAATAGAGTTATTTCCGGGAAATAATTGATAATATTTACCTTTACCTAAATTTATAATACCTTAGATCCGATAAAAAAAATATATATAACACTATTATATAAAGTATTATTACATTATTTTACTAATAGAATTATCTCTCCGATAATTTTTAAATGTACTACAATCGCTAGAAAATGATAAATGATAAATTTCTTTTGCCAAGGTATGATAGGGCTTTATCTCAATATTCTAGAGTCAAATGAGAGATGAAGAAAAAAATATTCTCTATTTTGAAACTTTTTTTGACACATTATATCGTTTTTCTATATAAAAAGAAATTATACGATTATAACTGATAGATAATAATTTCTAATCGCGATCTTCATTTAGTAAGTAAATTTCGTTTAGAATTTTGCAAAATAGTTTTTTTTTTACTTTACTATTTTCAGTCATCCTCGATTTCCCATTTAAATTTCAAGACTCTGTTATCCAATATTCTATTCCGTTTCATGATTCCAGCAACGGAATCGTTGCAATTTCCTTAACGAGGAACACCGAGACAATTTCCTACGGAGGGGGATGTTGGCTGCTATCACGCAGAGGACAATTCGATCTTTCATCGGTGAATGAAATGAAAATTATTCTAATGATGTACAGTTTCGATAAATGTTGGCAACGAATGAATTTCAAGTATGATAAATTTTATTGAATATTTTTTTTCTCTTATTTTTTTTTTTTTTTTTTTGAATTTTTTGAAGAAAAAAAGATTAAAATCGGTTCTTATTTTTACACAGATAGATCAAATTTCTTCAGAATTTATAATATATGGAATTTTGTTTTATTCGTGATTATTTATACGGAGAAAAGCGTTGTCAATAAATTTATTCCATTATTCAAATTTAACGAGATGGCATTGAACGTATCACGTGTGACATCATTCATCAATATCGATAATTTATCAGTACTATTATTTATCGGATTAATATTAGTTTATCTTCGTAGAGAATACTTTCAGTCGCTTATAGCACGAATTATAAATTTCTGTCTTCGCATTCGTACGTATATTTACGTATCACGTACATCATATGTGATACGAAATCTCGGTATATAATCGAAGATATCGTCCATTTTGGATTCTTTGATTGAATGAAGCAAAAAGGAAGAAGAGGGAGAAGAAAGGAATAAAATATAATTTTACTAATCTATTCATTTCTTTTTTCAGAGGACAAGACACTCTACTTTAGAACGGACGAAGAGTTTCTTCTAATCTTTCTGCGACCATGCAAGTTCTACGCGAAGAGCGCGTACGAGTTGATGAGGAGGATCGCAGAATTCAAGGAGAAGAACTCTTCTCTTTTGAACAATCTGATGCCAAACGACGAGGAAGTGTCGATCACCAAGCACAACGTGGTAAACGTGATCAAAGAGAGGGATCACAAAGGGAGAAGGATTCTCATAGTTAACTGCGGAAAAACTTGGAATCCGTCCGCTGTCAACAGCGACCAGATGTTTCGATTGTTTTATTTGATTCACCAGCTTGCCATGCTTGAACCAGAAACTCAGGTGTGTTTCAATAAAAATCGTCGACCTGGCAGGCTTTGCGCTTTGTAACGTAAACAACATTTTTATAATTATATAATTTATAATGCTGTTTACCTATTCGTGATTACGTAAAATAATTGCAAATTGTAACTGAAACCAGGAAATTATGTTTTTCCTTTATTAATTCAATGAGAAGAAAGGAAAAAAATGACTCGCGTTTCAAACTTTATCTTATTATTTTATTATTATTATTATTATATCGTTGAATTATTAAATTATTATATTATTATATTATTGTTATTCTTTTTTTAAAGATATACGGAAGCGTCGTGATAATGGACTTCGAAGGGATGACCATGAAGCAAGTGATGGGGATCACGCCGTCTTTCTGCATGAGGCTTCTGAATTTTATCCAAGATGCCATACCCCTGCGTTTGAAGGAGGTGAGTATCTTCGAACGATTTCAAAATATTTTATTCTTTGTTCTAGCTCGTTATCACAGGATGATTGTGAATTGTGAAAATTGAACTTGATATACTACTGCTTTAATTTTTATAATCGATTATAAATGTATAATATCAAGATATATATATATATATATAATTATCGTACGTATAATTAAAGATACACATAGTGAAACAACCGCTCTTGTTCAACATGGTGTGGCAAATGATCAAGCCCCTCGTCAGGGAAAAATTGAAGAACAGGTTGTACTTCCACGGTAGCAAGATGTCTTCGTTTCACAATTACATTCCAGCCACGTATTTGCCGGAGAATTATGGCGGTGAATTGCCGAAAATCAATTACACTAGCGCCGATTGGTATCCGGTTTTGTTAAAGTACGAAGATAAAATTAAACGTACGTTTATTTATGATATTTTTACTTTACTTGTCTAAAATATATAATAATAATAATAATAATAATAAAATTTTTATAAAATTTTTATAAATGATAAAAATTTTAAATATTAATTTTTAAAATATTTAAAATAATTTAAAAAATTTTTTAAATATTAAAAATTTTTATAAATGATCGAATTTTGTCCAATTTTATTTTCAATTTTTTTCAGAGTGGAACACGTATGGATTTCGACAACAATGAACGATTCGACAAATATGAATAAATTGACGAAATTGACGACGATATTTCAACAAATTTGAAATTTATTGAAAATCTTCTTCTTCGTTCTTTGTCTTCGTAATACGATGTCGTACAAAATATTTTAAGCGATAACGATTTTTCTTCTATTTCTAAATTTATTAACGTTTTTATGTGTATTTTTGTACGAAGAATCATTGTTTTTTATACGATACGATACGTATGAAAAATAATTTTTTAAAAAAGATAGTTGTAAGTGTGATTGATTCGTAAAATATTTTTTGATGCAAAAAATGCAAGAGTCAATAAGAAGGTTAATCCCGGCAATAAATAAAAAAAATTCAGTTTTTTCAACGCAGATCATGATACAGTAAAATTGATAAATTTGTAAAATAATGATTTCCTATTACATTTATTTTTAATCATTTATATATATATATATAAAATATTTTATATATATATTTTTAATCATTTATATATACGTCTATATATGTACGTATATATATATGTAGTGTGTTCAACGAAATACATTATTTTAGTCGATATTATAATTATTGTACATATATATATAAATATAAAACTTAGTTTTTCTTGCGCAAAAGTTATTTTATATCTTATAATGTATATCTTTACATGAAATTAGATATCAAACGATTAATTGATTAAATTTATTACTAAATAAAAATTGAATTGAAAAGAAAATTTCTTGAAACGATGATAATACGAAATAAGAATCACATCATTTCCTGATGATTTCAAGAATCGAATATTATTTTTCATCATATAGAATTAATTTAATATTTTCTCTTTATATACGTGTTAAAGATCTTCCTTAAAGAAAATTTTTGCCCAATGTTTCCCTCTTAAGAATAAAAATTTTTTATCCTTTTATATATTTTTACACTCAAATGAAATTTTTTTTTTTTTTTTTTATCAGAAACACGACAGAGAAAACAATTTTAATGGAATCATCACGATTAATATATTTCATATATTATATGCTCCGCGGTTAATCAAAAATTTAAAATACTTAAACTTTAAAATAAATTTAGAATTTAAAGTATACACAGAGAAACAATAAAATATAAATAAAGATGAGGGACGTTAAAACGCATTGTTTTTAATCGGGTTAAGTTTTGTAAATAAAAATTTTTTAAATAAAATTTCCACTTATCATTACGTGCGCAATACGAAAAAAATAAAATAAATCGGATATCGTAATACAATATTTACAATAATTATTATAATCACAAGAATTATCGATTTCATTTTTTCTAGTTTACCGATTAAAAAGATTTAACATTTATTAATTAAACGAGACGAAGAATAGTGGCGATAACGTGGTAGTACGATTTCGCATTCAATCGTTTTCAATTTAAAATGAATGCTTCGAAACGAATAACATAACCTCTAACATACCTAACCTCTGTAGATTCCACAACCACATTCTCTGCGTCCTCAACCACGTTCACGATCTCGGTCACATTCTACGATACAGTGGGAGAAACGCTTTCGCTTTCCAACCGATTTCCGAGTCGCTAGTCCTCCTCCTGCTTCTTCAACCAGTCTTCAAGTCAACGTTGTCTCGGCAACGTTGGTATCCGGAATCCTTCAATCTGTTTCTCTTCAACCAGGCCGGTACCCTCCTTTTAGCCTCAGCCTCGATATCCGCGTATCTGGCGATTTTTCTCTCGCGTGAACACCGCGTGAAATGATATCCTGAGAGATTCAACGATTCAATCGGGAGGAGAAAATTGATTGTCTCGTGACAGAGGAGAAATTATTCGATGCCAGTTCCTGTTCAGTGGTTCTGAATTCTAGTGTGGGATCGAGTTCGTCAGGTATGCGAATTAATTTTCCCATCCTTTTTTTTTTTATCCTTCTTCCCTCCTCCCCCTCGATCGAATCAATTGCTATCGAATCGTCGAGAATAAGGACGAATGGAATATTGAAATATGAATGGAATATTGAGAAATTTAACTTAATAATTTTCTTGTTGTAATTGTCTAAACATCATCGGTTCAGTTTTATTTGAATATTTTCTTTCAAAGAAGAAGAAAAAAAAAAAGGAAACAGAGAAATATATTACGCCACAAAGTATTATTATTATTATTATTATTATTATTACTGCACCGCGTTTTGAATGTTTAATTATCTTATCTTGTCGGTGGATCGGAACGAGTTTATACACACGTATAATAAAATATAAACGATTGCTCGATAAAATTTACTTTAGTTTTATTGAAGAAACAGATTGAACGAAGAAGAGGGCAAATATTGTGATAATATTATATTTATCGCGCGATCATCGAGAAACGTGAACCGCCTACCGAAATTATTTAAGTAACAAAGTTTTTTCTGAGTGAAGTGCAAAGTAATATTTCTCAAGATCGTTTCAAGTTTAATTCACGTCGTGCAAACGATGAATCAGAATTTCAGGATTAGATAACGGACGATAAAAATATCGCAAACAGTTTCAGAGAGGAAAGGCTTCGAACAGGTTCTGCGCGTTTATTTTCATTTTCGCAAATATTTATATTTGCCTTACGCATTATTCTCGACCAGGAAATACTTTTTATACCACTTCATTCGATCCAAGAGAAAAAGAAAGAAATTTTCAATTTCGAATTCGTCGCAACGAATCCAACGCGCCAACAACACTTGAAAACAATATCCTGTCGCGCCAAAAATCCGAGGATCGAATTGAAAAAAAAACGAGCTGAACAATGTTTGCATCCAATCTCGTCCCGGTATATCGAGATCTGAGATCACTTCTTCTTAAACATTGTAATCGGTGTACGTTTCATTAAAAGAAAACATTATCGAGACGCGCAAGAATCGAGGACAAATGCAACGAGTAATAATCTGCTGAGGGGATCATCGGGGAAGAAGAAGGAAGAGATAATTCATCCTCGATAATATTTCTAACTTCTTTATTCTTGCATGCTCAACAGATAAAAACCTGTTTTACCGAGGGAATACGCATACGAAGCAAGATGGAGGAAGAAGGAAGACAGGATGCGAATCGTGTCGATTCGAGATGGAAGGATGTGCCTTATCTAAAAATAGGCAATTTAATTCTGAAGGCAGATTTCGATGAGGGCGACGAGTATTTTAGGGAGAAGGCGAGGGACGAGCTGCGCGAGACGCCCGAGATCGTCGAGCAATCTTTAAAGGACTTGAGGACGATGGTTAAAGGTAATGAAAGGGATAATATTGACGGGTGGGGAAAAATGGCGGTGTTTCGATTCCATTGCCATCTTTGAGGCATCCCTCGATACGGATGCATAATTCGATCCTGGTTCGAGAAGAAAGATTCGTGCGAATCGAAATATCCTCTTATCCACTATTAAGGATACCATTTCCTCTGGATTGGATCGACGCGATTGCGATATGCGAGTTCTAGTAAATTATTTTGCGTAGAAGCAACAATGTTGGAAAAGTCGTAGTAGATTTTAACATAGAACGGAAGTTGATGAGCTATATCGTTACTCAAGAATTAATTATTAATTATTGAATAATAAATTACGAGCGCGAGTTTCATGACTTTTAATATTTTGAACGTTTAGAATAGAAAGGAAATAGCTAGAATTTTAGAATTTTTTTTTTTTTTTTTTTTTCGTTTTCTCGCCTCGTTGTATAATAAGACAGAGATGACTAGAATAATAGATAAGAGGAAGTATTTTTTTTTTTCATTTGGGACGCGAGAAGCTTTCTCTTCGGGATACCGAGCAAACATGGACAAACGTGGACAATTTCTTTTGCTTGCTTTCGCACTTCCCTCCGTTTACGTTCCGTGTTTTAAATTAGATCGAAAATTGAAAATGGAAAAATGAATCGAAGAACTGTTTATAATATATATATTTTAGATCTTTTGATAGACGTTGGTTTGCACAATTTTTTGTAAAACAAAGGAACAAAGGATATGATAATCTTAAAAATTTTCATTGAAATTTATATTTATTTGGCTTATTTATATATAACAAAGCGTCTTATCTTTTTGCAAAAATGATTAAAATGTTATTGTAATGATTGATCGATCGCGATAAATATATCTCGTTATCGAATTTATCGCGAACTTTGTAATTTTCAAAAAAAATATTTTCTAAAAAACATAACGAAGAAATAATTAAAAAAAGTAATGGTAGTAAAAATTTCGTTTAAGATTCGTCGAAGATTGAATATAAAGACTTTTACGAAAATTATTTTTCTAGTAAAAATTATAATTTAAATTAGACGTATTAAGGTACATCGTGTTACGTCGGAGAAAGGAATGTCGTAAACGAATCTGTGTTTTCCATCGTCTACTTTTCTACATGTTGAGGAACCGGTCACGTGTAAATGAAAATTTCACTCTATCGAGAGCTCGGTCAATATTCCTTTCTCGAAGATCTTAAACGAAAGTCAAGGTTATATTTCAGGGAATATAATTGACAAATATAATGTAGTCACAATATTTTTTTTATTTACAATTCTGTAAAATATCAAATGTTAATTATAAGAAAAAATAAAACATCCTGACGGTTGATTGCCTTCTTCGCAATAATGTACAAATGCAACGATTATAATCAGATAATCGCTCGTTTGAAATAATTACAGCCTCTTCCGTGCAAATAAATACGATCAAGTGTAATTACGTGCTCCAACATATTTCTTTTTTTTCAGCTGAATCCAATCTCGTCGTCCCGGATGACGATGAATTTTACAAGAAATTCCTGCGTCCTTGCAAATGGTATCCAAAGAATAGTTTCGAGTTGGTGAGCAAAATTTTTATTCCATCGATTGTATATTAAAATTACATTTTTCCTTTTCTAAATAATAAAATGTATGGTTAAAAAAAATCGTTCCGATTTCACAGATGAAAAGATATTACAAATTCAAGTTGAACAATCCTCGCTTCTATCTCGATCTCACGCCCAGCAACGAGCAAAAAGTGCTACGCTCAGATATCGCGATATCGTTACCAGATCGAACGGCAGACGGTTGCAGAATAATTTTAATTAACACTGGGAAACGATGGAATCCAAAACTGATAAGCGGCGATGAAATATTTCGATCGACGATATTGTTAATAGAAATGGCTATAAACGAGCCGAAAACGCAGGTACGAAAAAAACATTTTTCGAGGAGAGAAGTTTTCATTATTTTCTGTTTTCATTATTTTCATCAAGGATGAGCGCTTAAAGATGAAAAGAGTATAGAGTGGTTTGCTAAAAGACTAAAAACTCGTACGCGAGTCAGTAGAGACGAAATCTTGTTCGAAATATCGTTAAATTCTAGGCGGGAGGGGGGGGGGGGAGGGGGAAGGCTAACCTGAATTGCGCAATAATTCGTGCGACGCTGTCCTTCATGAGTACGTATTTGGTTTCGTTAGGAAAGTACGCTTCGTTCAAGCCAAGTACGTACCACTTTGAAAAAAATGTCTAATGATTATTATTATTCCCTTGAGTTATATTTAATTTTATCTTTCCTTCTTTCTAATTTTATTTCTATCTATAATCATTATCATATAATTATCTATAATTATTATTCCCCCCTCCCCTCGAATTATATTTAATTTTATCTTTCCTCCTTTCTAATTCTATTTCTATTTCTTCTTTTATTTTCAAATAATATATTCAAATCATTCCTCCCGCGTTCTCACGTGTATATAATTTGTTTTCTCTTCCAGATTTGCGGAATCCACACGATTATAAATATGGCCGGGTTTTCATTGAGCCATATCACACATATCACTCCGAGTTTCGCCGCGGCGGTAACCGAATGGCTACAGAGATGTTTACCCTCTCGAATAAAGGGTATACACATAGTGAATCAACCCTTCATATTCAAGATGGTTTACGCTATTTTTAAACCTTTTCTTCTGGTACTTTTTTATACAATTTTATATCAGTTTCATTCAAAATTTAATTAATGATGCGATAGTATATTTGAAACGTGATTAGGATTCTTTCTTTCCTTTTTTAAACGAAGTAAAACAGAAGAAAAAAGAAAAAGATTTTAATTGCAATACTTTTATCTCATATTGATTGATCAAATTGGTAACAAATTATGGATTGATCGAAAAAAAGAAAAAAGAAAAAGAAAAAAAGAAATAACTTTAATAACTCCGTTTCTGTGAAATAATTTCCTTGCTAATATGGATAATTAATGTCTGAATATGAATTGAGGATGGACTAGTAAACGTATGCATAATTCTCTTTTAATTCGCGTTAAATATATCGCCGTGATTCGCGAAAATTTCTGTTTCTTGTTTTTATTGTATTTGAAATTTAATTATGTTTGATTTACGTCGGAATACTTTTACAGGAGAAGACACGTAAGAGGCTTCACTTTCACGGAACCGACAGGGAAGCTTTGGTCTCTATCCTCGGAGTGAAAAATTTACCTATCGAGTTTGGCGGGGAACTCGAGATGCCGAACGAGCCGATCGGCCAACACATCTATGAATACATGCACAAATTCGAGAAAAAATTCAAAGGTAATCCACATCCTTTCGTTTTTTATTTTATTTTTTATTTGAAATATTAACGAAATATCATATAAAACGTACTACATATATAAACATATATATATATATATCGATGATAAACAAGATTGGAAAAGAATACACGATAAACCGGGTGAAAGAATATTTATCGAAATAGAATTTTTATCGATCAAATAATAAAATTGTAAATCAATTCTATTCGTGGAATAGCTCTTTGATGATATAAATTTTTTCAAGTCGATAAAATATAATTTTCATGTTTTCCTCTACGATTAATTATGTATAATTGTCATTTACAATTTTAATTATTAATGTGATCCATCCATCCAATAATAATTATTTTATATTTAAATAATGATTTCAGAAAAATAAGTAAATTAGTTCTGGCATATTTTAATATATTGTTGATAATTCTAATGTCTTAGATACGATAATATCTTCGCGATTCAAAAATATCTATAATGATATGATGAATATAAGAATCGACAATTCTCATTGTAGATCGATCCACTGATAGTTGGGTATTAATCTTGGGTAATATTCTATTTTTGTGGATATATTCGTAGCACGTGTAATTACACATGAACGTGTGTTACATGCGCGTAACGTACTATTGCCGAACAGACTTGGTTGCGCAACAATAATGAATCGTATAATTTTCTTCGTCGACAGATAATTCCAAGTTTCAGGATATATAAATATAAAATTGTTTGTCATGTAAAAAAAATTAATTGCGCTTCAGAAAAGCGTAGTTAAATATATTCTTAATTACATGTTATAATTTTTGCAATCGTTGACAAATATAAAATTTAAAAATTTTACTTTTGAAAATTATTATTGCTTCTTTTACTCGTTTTGAAATAAAATAATAAGAATGTTTGATGATGAGAACATGTTAAAAGTTTATCGTTGGAAAAGATTGGAAGAAATTTTTTGAATTATTAATAATTTTTATCGATGATGAGTATAATTTCATAGATAGTATTTTCCAATTATGATCACAAATTATATCTCTCTCAAATTTTTTTTTGTTGCATAAACGGCGATAAAATAGCTTCCATTTCAGTCTGATAATATAGGAAACTGGAAGGAAACAATTAAATTAGATTAATAATTAGATTAATATCCTATTCAATGAGTGTAATTATGATATTTTTTGATTTTGCTTATTGTATTTCTTTTCTTTTTTTTTTTTTTTTTTTTACAATAAATTATTCATAAACTCGCTTCACGAACGATTTCGTATTTTCTTGTTACAGAAGCCAATAAATTTGGATATATTGTGAATGAAAAATGATTGCTGAATCGATTTAATATACTACGAAGTAACCAGTTTCAAGGTAACGTTGTTGATGAGATCTCAATCGGATCGAAACAAGGGGTAAAAGGGTAAAATCGATGATGAGAATTCGATAAATCATAATTTGAGTATCAAATTGGATTGTGGAATAAATGGAGGAAGATCAGAGATCCGAATTCCGTTATCGTTGCAACGGATCGATGATCTTCATTCTTGTGTGTGTGTGGGTAATTTTTTTATTTTAAAAAATAAAAATAATATCGAAAAATAACGGTATCAGCTTGTATTTGTTTTTTTTTTCTTTTTTATTATTGATATAATAAAATAAATTTTTCAATTGACTTTGAGCGTAATAATAATAAATGAAACATTAAATACGTTATCGTTCGATTAATTTTTTTTCGATAAATTCGTTATATTTAATCCGCAAAATTATCACGTCACATCGTGACGATTGCAACAATTATTGATCGTTTGTCACATAATTGATTGATTATAAAGGAACGTTTTAACGAGAAATATTTTGATTGAAAAATAATTGGAATAAAAATGTTTCACTTCAGGAAGAAATAGTGGCAGAATTTGATGCAATTATAATTACGTATAACAGGATCTTTTAATTAAGTACATATTTCATAAGCGTATACCCTTGAGATAAACCTCCTTGTCCTGACAATAAATTAATCAACAAGTTTTACAAATTTTATTAAATATATCAGCTGGTAATAACTTCTGAAGCCTTTTGAAAGACTTCTCGTTTTAAATTATCAAGTTATTAATAACGATAAATTTAATAATCGATTTCATCTATTAACAGAGAAGTTCACAAAAAAAAAAAAAAAAGGAAACATTATAACATTAAAGTAATACAAAAATAATATTATAAATAATAAAATTATTTCGTACAAAATTATCTTAATCTATAAAATATAATTTTATATAATATATAAAATCCCTTAGAAGAATTAAATTTCTCTCTCTCTCTCTCTCTCTCNTCTCTCTCTCTCTCTCTCTCTCTCTCTCTCTCTCTCTCTCTCTCTCTCTCTCTCTCTTTCTCTCCATAACAATATTCTAATTCTAATCTTAATTCGAGTAATAATATGGACAATACGACAAACTGGAAAAAGTTTGTACTTCTTTTCCCATTCCTCATCATAAAAAGCATCATTGTTGTTTAATTTAATTCATCATTATAATTTAAATTGCAATAATATTATAAAAGGTCAAACTAGCAATGATCCGCTTATAAGCAGATAATAACCGTACAGATAACTAAGTAGGCTATGCGCTGAATCCAGATCAGCGTGTTAACGAGAAAATCCACAGCCGACAAAGTTTCCCAAAAAAAAAAAAAAAAAAAAAAAAAAAAAAAAAAGAAGAAGAAGAAGAAGAAAAAATTATATATCTTCAGATCATCTCTCTTTTTACATCCTCGCATGAAGGCGCATCGAATGAATTATTTCTTATAACCGTACGAGTTGATTGCTGGAAAAGAGAAGAGAAGGATCAATTATTAAAAAAAAGGTAATATTCAAAATATTCAAAATATAAAATAACATCTTCTTCATAACAATATCCAGCAACGAATAACTTTTTGCGCTTCGATCTCTTTATTATTGCTTTTATTTGAAATTGAAGAAGAGGATCGAGAGGATTTGTCGCATACCATCGTATTCCTTGTCGCATAATAATAACAATTCCAACCATTGTGGCCCCGTTACACGAGGAAGTTGCAAGTTTCCACCGTAGCAGGCTGGCAAACATTTGGGGGAGATGTATTGGTGCAACGATTTCCGATCATTGCCGTGGAAGATCAGCTGCGAGTAATCGAAGCCAAGCATTAATATCTCAAACTTTTACTCAATTTTTACAAAATTAATCCTACCTCTACTTTTTTTTCTTTTTTTTTTTTTTCCAGAAAAAGAAAAGAAGTTCGAAGAGTGGCTGTCAACTTACCCTGTTCTTCAATTTATCCCTAAGGAACGGTTTGAACAGCGCGAACACCATGTTAAACACGTATGGCTGATTAACGATGTGTATATTCTTTATTCTGAGCGGTACGGCGTCCTGCAGCCAATCCACTATCCTTTTGGCGAACGCGGGGGTGAATTGCCAAGCCTGTTGAAGAGTGAGCCCGTCCATGTCGAAAACGACTATCGCGCCCGCGATCTGCGTGGCCGGCTCCAACATGGCCGCCTCCACGTACAGCACGCAACCCTTGAACACCTCGTCCAGGCTGCACTTGTTGTGCTTCCATTTCTTCCCCAACTCTATCACCAGTATCCTTCGCCCATTTTGATCTCGATTCGGCAACACGGACAGAATGTTTTGCTCGAATATATTTTTCTCTTTGCTCGGTTTCAAATTCTCGTAGACGTTCGAGTGCTTCACTTTGAAATTGTAATAATTCTTAACCAGATTCAACGCCGATTCCGGATAATATTTGCAAGGCCTGAGAAATCGGATCAGCCAGGCGTCGTTCTCCACGGGGCATTTCAAATCTGTCTCGGCTGTTGATCGAGAAAAGAAAGAGGAAAAGAAGAAAAAAAAAAAAAAAAGAAATTAGAATCGTGGAGAATTAAGTTTTTTTTTTTTTTTTTTGTCTATTTTTATTTTACAATCGATCGTAATTTTGTCACCTTTTAGCAATTCCCTAAGTCGGGCGATCGCATCCTTCTGAAGTTCAGGCGTCTCTCGAAGTTCATTCTTCGCTATCTCCTGCAACTCCTTGCCAGGTGGGCCAAATTCGACCTCGAGCGTGAAGTCGCCTACCTTGATGGAAGGAAGTTTATCCCATTCGGTCAACGTAGTTCCTAATAACAAATTTATACATTGTAAACGTTTATTTATCATCATACTTGTCACTGTACATTATAAATGAAATTTCATCTATACATGTGGAGGAATGAGAGGGGAACGAAGAGGGATACGTTCATGTAATTAGAATGATTACAATAGCAATCTAATATCCCCCTCCCTACTAACAATGATTTTCCATTTTTAACAAGAGCTCATATAATTTTTTACTTCTTTCGTATCATGGATACAATTATATTACATAATGGTATTCGTTGGTAAACGAGGCTCCAATTATCAATGTATATCATAAATGTAAATCATACGTTTCGTAAACACATATTTCTTATACAAGAAGATTCCATTCAATTCTTTTCTTTAATATATATATATATAAAATAATTTTAATTTTTGATCTTTTGACAATTCGAAATTAATAACGCGACATAATGGAAACAAATCGCCTCTTGCAAACATGATAAACAAACATATCCATCGCGTCCATATCTTTGCAAATAATATATAAAATTATTCGCGGAGAAAATAAAAGATCTGATATATTATTCAAGCGAAGATTGAAACTTTCACACGGCTACTTTCGAGAAAAGGAAACCATAATAAATAACGAAAATATATAAGAATATAATAATCCTCGATACTAACTTTCCATATCTTTCACCTTTCAAATTTTTTTCTTTCCCTCTTCCTTCAGCTTCTCTCTTGTTGTTCTCGATTTGCGCACACATGTACGCACACGCGACGCGCAAACACACACACGCGCGCACACACACGACGGTTCACAGTTTACCGCACCGCACAGAGAATCGAATAATAAATTCGGCCAAGTGTCATTCAGCTTGCTCGCATCGCTACTACCGATCGCGCACGCTTCACTTTTTTAATTTACTTATACAGATAAGCTGAGCAATTATACGACGAGCGGGACGATTTTGTCATGATCGTGGTGACTCACTCACTCACTCACTCACTCACTCACTCGCTCGCTCGCTCATTCGCTCGCTCACTCGCTCACTCGACTTGGACGAAGGCGGTTCGCTACCGGACTACTCTGCTAACTTCGCAGAATTCATTTAACGAAGCCGTGCGTTCTCCTTTAAGCGCTCATAATCGTATCCCCCTACCATTCCCGATACCCAGCGAAACAAACTCGGGAATAATTTCGCAAACTCGATTCACCACCTTATTCGCTACACGTTACGCGTTATTATACTGGTTTATCGAGTTTCAGCAATCAATTTTTTCTTCCACCAGTTCCTTCCATTCCGTTTCTCCATTTCGACGAAGCGATTCGATTTCGAGACCGATCGTCCTCAACCTCGATTGTTGAAAAAAAAAGAAAATTTATCTCAATTTCTATTCTGTCGTTGTATCGCAAAAATAGGGAACGGACGTGAAAACAATCTTATCTCGGTTCCTTATCTCGTGCGCATGCGCGACCGTGGGTGGTATATGATTTCATGAATAATTAATTCAGAACTTTTTGTCAAAAGCAAAATGTACTTTTATCTTCCTCGTTGCGTTAATATCTAATATAACGTTATATTTTATATACACTTTCACTGGACATAATTCAACGTCGAAACAACACCTGTTGTTCTTGATTAATTTTTTTTTTATATATATATGTATAAAATAGGCGATTGGCGGGGACAAATTCTTGTTTGTTTCCTACTTTCACGTTCACAATATATATATATATATATAAAATGGGTATCGGTTTTCCATCGGTTGGAAATTTTATCGGGTATATATACGTGTATATATATATTCTTTAATTCTCCACACGAGGAATTGCAATTAAGTGAATTCAAAAAGGTCATCGCACTCGCATTGAATTAAGCAACATTAAGCTGAGTTTACATGTGAAAATTCTTCGAGACCTTGTTGTGATATTTGAATCGCGCCATGTGTAATAACTATAGAAGGAGTTTCTTCGTGTATTCTTATACACGTTTCTCTCTCTCTCTCTCTCTCTCTCTCTCTCTCCTCTCCCCTCCTCCTCCCCTTCTCCTCCTCTTCGTATAATTACGTCTTCCCGGTTGCAGCTGAACCGTGAAACCAACGGTACAGGATCGTCGATGCGTAAATAAATGCGTACACGTAGGTTTCAAGCAGTCCTTTCTTTCTCACGATTTTATGAATGATGATTCATAAAATATTCCGATTTCTTTCGGTTTTTTTTGAAGAGGGAAGGAAAATAAAAAGAAAAAAAAAAAGTAAATAAATAAAATGAAATAAAATCGTCTCTTAGATTAGTTTGTATGTGTGTGAATGTGTGAAATTTAGGAGGAAGTATATATTGATGAAAAATATATATATATATATATATTGATATGCATATGCGCGTAGATAAAAAATTAGTAACGATGATTTTGAGACAGAGATTATTGAAAGAGCAAATGGACACTGTAAATATTGAGATAACATAACGAAGTGTTAATTAGCAGAACGATACTCTATCTACAATTACTAATTCTTACGGTATTCATAAAGAGATACAATGCAATTATATTGATTAAAGTTTATTATTAACATCGATTGATTTAATATAACGTTATTTTGAAGTATTTAATATAATCGTCGTTCGAGAAGATGAAAGGAAACGTTTTTTTTTTTTTTTTTTTTTTTTTCCTCCCTCCGTACGAATTTTTTTATATCCAACTTGCTCGTTTATTTATCTACTTTGTTACTTTATTATTCATTGAACGGATGCAAAACATTGCAAATACGTGCATTATCATATTCAATACAAGATAAACGTTGTTAATACGAAAGAATACACGTATGAGGTTGAATAATCGAGGTCAAGATATACATCTGTTTCGTTAATTAAAAATATCTTCTTTTAGTCATTTTATGAAACTGTGTTAAAACGAGTCGATGCATCCTTATTTTAACGTATGGTTTGCAATTAATTGAATTAATTTTGGGTTATTTGTATCTGTGTGAAGAGTTATTACAGTTTCTATCGAAATTCTGTGCGTGTGTATATACATATTTCAATTTGTTGTTTTATCGATTTATTTTTCATAATCTTCTTTCATAAATTTATCACAGAGAATGAAAATATATCTGAATTGATTTTGAATTTTTTAACCGATAAATTGCACTCAATAAGAAATAACAAAGAAACGAGAAAAAGTGAATAGAATAAAAATAGCAAGTCTATGTAATTAAAGCCTCGTTTGAGAAAACGACGCAACCTAATACACATTCATACGTGTGCATACCATCGTTCCACTGCTTTCTCTTGTGTACTCGCGTTGTTAACAAATGGATCCTCGGAATAAAAATAATTCCACGTTCCATTGCTAACAAAAACCGTACATGCGCGTAACTTGCATTCGAAACTTTGAAGTTACATTTAATAATTGGAAAAAAAAAAAAAAAGAAAATAAATTAAAATTCTACTTCAACTCGCGTGTTAATTAATTAATTAATTCATCAGAGTAACTAAAACGACGAAATTAAACTCTTTCGATCGATACAATATTAACACACACGTTAAATTTTCATTAGAGAATATTAATCATCTTGACAAAAAAATATAATCTTTCCTTCTCTCTCTCTCTCTCTCTTCATCCGCAAAAATGCACTACGACTAATATTCTCCCTGTTAATCCGACCAAACGAGCAGTTTGCACACCCTTGAGTATTATTCTCCTCCATTCTGGCTCTTCTTCCATTTAGGCGGGAGAACAAAAGAACCAACTCTCCTCCTGGTGGACGAGACGCAAACATTTCGACTCCGCTTCCCTTTCTTTGTCTTTCTCGCGTCTTTTGTGCAGCCTCGAATAATAAGCAACGACTCCAAAAAAGTATTTAAGGATTTATATGCAACGCGGCGGGAAAGAAAGTTTGATGCTCGGATGGGAAATGGGACAAATCCAAACAGGTTTTTTTTTTTTTAACGAGATGTATCAACCGTTCATGTAACATCGACAGGAAATGGAGGAGGAGGAGGAGGAGGAGGAGCGTCGGAGAGTGTATGCAAAGACGAAGCATGTCGGGCACGCGGAACAAAATTGCAAGGAAGTTGCAATATGAAATCGCGGCCAGAAATGGAGAAAGCATTTTAATTTGAAATTAAACGAAACTTAGAGCTGAATTGGATCTATTCTATCCTAAATATTTAATCTATTCGAATCTAATCTATTCGAAATATTTCGTTCAAGGTTTGTATTATTAATTTATCACAGAGAGTATAATTAGTTAATAATTAATTTGGAAAATATGCTCGACAATTTTTTCTTTTTTAATAGATATTTATTTAGAGCAAATATAATTTTTATTATAATTTTTTCTTAATTCTTCAAGGTGAAGAACAAGGAGAAGGTGATCTAAACACGAAACGAGGAATTTAAGGCTTGCATAAGTACGATATATTAAATTTAGAATCTGGCTTGTTTTGACGAAAAAATTCTTTCTTCCTTCGAGGACTCGAGGGGAGTAGCCAACCTTGTCCCTCCACGGAATACCGTAAACAAGCCATCCTTCGTCGAGCTGGCCGATTTAATGGAAACAACCAGTGGTTGAATTTATGCCAATATAACGATCTAAGGAGATGGAACAACGTCGAATGCATGTTCATTCGCGGCTAACAATCTCGATCGAGTTTATCGATACCGATTTACGATTTTTTGTCCATGCATTCCATCTCTGACAAAACTTGTTTTAAACGGAGTGATTTGAATTTGAATTTGAAACTCAATTCTCTGTGTATTGATTGGATCGAATATTTTTCGCGCGTGTTCATATGAGAAATAAGAGAAAAGGCTGGATAATTTGTCTAACAATTTTTCTAACAAGCTTTCGACTTTCCTAAAATTTGTGATTCCTAACTTTGCGGATATCGTTCACGTCGATGTGGATCTAATGATTTTTGCAAATGGAAGAGGCGTGAGACTGCTAGTCGAATGAGACGGATAAAGTGTACTTTGCATCACAAGTGCAAACACAAGTGAAATCTATTCTTATCTTAAAATATGATTCGTCAATTTAAATATTCGCCTTTCGGTCGAACGATGAAAAATCGATTCTCTTCTTGTTGAATCGGAACAAATATTCGTGATACGTTTAAAAAAAATTTTTTTAATGTTTAAGATAATTTGCATACGTTGAAAGGAAGCGTTTTGAAGTTTTAAAGAGGAATATGATTAAAATACCACGTGTCTCGAAATATTATATACACGTATACTCTCGTCGCAGAAGAGTTAATGGAGTTAAAAAAGGACATTGATGGACACGGTTTTGTATTTTTCGTTTCTTCTTTCATCGACGCACAACCTTGAAATGCAGCAGTCGACGCAAAAAGAAAGAGATATCCCGAGATTTTCGAGGTGAACCTGTTCCGCGATCAGGGTCAATGATGTCATTTTTTTGGCGGATGGAGAAGGCGAATGGCGCCGCGGCTCCCGTCAAAATACGAATTCGGAAAAGGGGTATATTGACCTCGTCAATTCAATTCCGTTTGCCAATTTTGAGAAAAATTTTCAAATTTTTCCAAACCCCCGACTTTTTCAAACGAAACTCACGAAAGGAGGTAATATTAAAAAAGCGAGTAATATAAAAAATTAATATAAAATATAAAAAAAATATAAAAAAAAATATAAAAAAATAAAAATATAAAAATAATAATAATATAAAAAATTAATATAAAATATTATAATATAAAAAATTCGAATCTTCTCAAAGTTCCACAACAGGACGCAGCAGCAACGATCGAAGACTTAACAATTAACAATTCGTTTCCTTTTAACACAAATCGTAAATCAGTCTCGAGAAATCTTTTCTTCTCTTCTTCAGTTTCGATTTCACATTTCCACTCACGTCAATATTTATTTGCGCGATCTACGAGGAGGGAGGATTGAAAGGGGTTGTAAAATTTTATCGAGCACTCAACGCGCATCGACCCGCCACCGTTATAATTGGCAGCCGACCAACGAACTTCCAAACAGGGGTGTAACGAGCTAAATCGGCCACCTTCTTCTTCTTCTTCTTCTTCTTCTTCTTCTTCTTCTTCTTCTTCTTCTTCTTCTTCCTCCAGGGAAGGATCTACGCGCCGTTCAAACGTTGAAATAGAAGTTGAACCGGTGCCAACTCGAGTTTTGCATTTTACTCACGTCCGATCGGCGCGCTGATCGGTTTTTTTTTCCCTTTTTCTTTTTGCATAATCCGGTATCGCAACAGGCTGCGATGAATTTCCATGAATTATCCTCGATCTTCTCCGTTGATCTTTCGAGAAAAAAAAAAAAAAAGAAAAAATCGCGAGAAAATTACCTTTCCATTGTTGTTTCGAAGAACAACAATTTTTAAAACTCTCTTACCTCGAGAGGGGGGATTGAAAATTTTCATAAAATCCGAGGGGAGGAGGGATAATTCCTTTACGTCCAGTGACGATTTTCCGATAAAAAGAGGTTGCAGCTTCCGCTCGATAATGGCTCGAGAAAATCGGTTGCCAACGATAATTCGATTACAGGAGGTCGTTCCAACATTCCTATAAGTCCGCCTTACTTTTTCAACGATCATCGATCGCCGCTTCTGCAAACAATTGGCGCTCGACCAAAGGGCGCCCCCCTGCAACGCTGTATTTCTCGTTCTCGAATCGGGGATATTTGGCGGAAAAAATAAACTCGAGATAATTGATCGATTTTGCAGATAATTAATTGGTTTCAATTGGGCGCGATGGGATGATTCGAGCGAAATCGTTCAATTGGGGGTTGAACATTATGATTCTTCTTTAAAAAATTTCGATCCAAAACGAGGGATTAAATTATGATGAAACTTCGAATTCCAATGGATTCGATTCAAGGATCCATCTGATTAATTGAAAAAGAAATCGAACGATTTCTATTTTCTTCTCTTTTAATTTGAAACTTGAACGCGAAGAGGGAGAAACTAAGGTTTTCT